GTCATTTTTCGGGGCACTTTAGTAGGGAATGAGGGAATGAGAGATTTGCAATTTTCACATTTCCCTGCAGTCGGTGGCCAATGAGAGCGGCTGCGACAATGCGCTCCTGGGCACTTCGCAAGAGTACTACGCCTCAGGCAACTTGAGCTGGTTCGAGGTCACAGGCCTGTTGAACCCAGGCATTCCAGTGAACAAGAATGGAGTTGAGATGTACCGCAACATGTTCGGCGGGAGCGCCCCTCTGCACCGCCACCACCTCCCGAGCTCCCGGCAGGCGGCCAACGGCCTCCCTCTCCGCCGCCGCCGCCAGAGGGCCTGAGGAGCAAATGCCGGAAGAGTCGTCAGAAGGCTTCCTTGCAGAGGAACTCCGACTGGCAGAAGAGCTGCTGAGGGCCGTGGAGGAGGATGAAAAAGCACGGAAGGCAGCGGCCGAAAACAAATGAAAAAGACAAAGAAGAAGACCTCGCAGAAACAAAACCTAGCTTCTGTATCCATGTACAATGTTGCTGAGATGAGGTTTTGCTGCCAGGCCAGCAAAGCGGGCGAGAATGACCGTGTAGGACCTGGAGGTAATGCTTCGGCAGGCGGCAAGTGCAAAGAGGAGTGTTGCTGACCAGCAAACTCCTTTAAATGCTTGTCAGCATGTGCAAAACCTGTTCTTGCAGGAACCTATTGGGTCTTCAAATTTTGATTTTGGACAGGACAGAAAGGAAGATCGAGAATGTGACAAAAAAAGAAAAAGGCGCCTGCAAGCTGAAACAATGACGTGTGTCACTTTTTGAACATGTGTTTCGTTTTCTCTAAATATCTATAAACATCCTAATCTTGGCGCTGTTGGCAGCAACATGGGATGTTCAGCATCAATGCATTGTAGACGACTACTATTTCTACTACTACGAGGACGAGGATGACGACGACTAGCAGTAGTAGCACGTAGCAATGGCCATGGCCACTGCGAGGAGACAAGAAAAAAACGGCATGGCTGCCAAGGGCTTGAAACGATTTTTTCCGATCACCTGATTGCTTTAAAAAAACTAGACGACAGCATGGCCCGAAAGAAAGCAGGAGAGAGGAGACAAGAAAATTACACAAAAGAAGACACTTGATGAATGGTGAATGACGATGAAGAGACGAAGAATCCGTGGCACAGCATGTTCAGGCTTCACACTCATAAGACTTCAATATTCTTGCTTTCCACTTGCAGTGGTCCGTGGAAAATTTGTCCTTTCACAGCCGGCCAGAGAAACACGGAAAAAACATGAAAGATCCGATCATTTCGGTAAACCCATCGCTTGCGAGCTTGTCACGCAAATTGCTATAGCGAAGGGCCGACCCTCACTGGTCGCATGAGTCAACAATTTCATTTACTTTTTGCATTTTTTTCTTTTCTATTCTTTTTTTCATTGCGGAGCCAGATTTCCGTCTTGGAGAACCTGCGATGAAGCCACGCCGTCACAGAATATCATAGAACACATGGCACATCATATTTTAGCATCCGAAACCAAAGGACACCAGGAGGTATTGCATGTTATAACGTCTGCCACTGAATCAAGCATAGCGGTTGAGTGCTCAGGACTGTTCATTTCGGCAATCATGATCAGGTCAGGTGGTTTTGAATTCAGAAAGGTCGCCAGCAGCGCTTGAAAACCCAATGGAGATGCAGCTATATTTAAACTTACATTAAACTTACATCATTGGTTGCCATAGGAGCATGTGACCGGCCAATGGCGGCCAAAAAGTTGTGAGGCACGCCCGGTTTCGCGTCCTTGTTGGTTAAACGGGGCATGTTTTCCACTGAGCGATATGGGGTCATGATCAGAATGAAGTTGGTCGCACGACAGGACAACGGAGATGTGCGCCGGCACTGGAGGAACCAAGTGTTAAACACCCTCGCTGTGCAAGAAAAAAAGGCTGACTTGCACACTGCTTGCTTTTTCACTGCCGTCGGCGGCTGCTGCTTTGAATCAGATATGAGTAATAACATTTTTCAAAGTGTCACAGTTCAAAATGTTCCAGCCAATCTCATCCCGCTTCCAATCGTTGCTTCCAAGGTTCTCCAATAGTGATGGTCTGGTCTTGTCCTTATTCTGGCCTGCACAGGTGGTCTTATAGTTACTTCTAACCAATTGCTACATTGCTGACCAGCAATGAAAGGCAAAGCCATTTACCAGCAACAAATCAAAAAATCTAGTTGCTGGGCAGCAACTAGAATACATGTCCCCTGCCCAACCCTTGCACAACCATCAAATGGCTGCTGGTCAGCAGCAATGTTGGCAAGAATTAAGATAGGAAGCTCTTGGCCATTGGCTGAGGCAAGATGCGCCGCAGCAGCGTGGCAAGAGGTCCTCGGCTAAGTTGAAGTTGCAAGAATGATGTGATTCCACGTGAGAAAGAACATTGCTGGACAGCAATCAAGCTCACAATCCCCTTCAAAAAATGAAATGACGTTAATGCATATCCTGGTGCGTCATTTTGCTCAAAAACGACAAATCAGGTAGACCCGCAACGCGCACCTGTCAAAATGCCGACCGACAATGTGGCGTCTCTACGGGGGGAAGTTTTTGTCCAGCTGGATCTACTCCGAGTGCTGGTGATGATGCTCTTCGTCGCAGTTGAGAAGTTGCTCATGGTCCGGCAGCAGGCTTCTGTAGAAGGACAACGGGAGCTCACGAGCAAGAAGCAGCCAACTGAAGATTCAGAAAAGGATGCTGCGGTGGCAAAGGGAAGCTCAGAAATAGCTGATGAGCAGAAAGAAACTGCTGCGAGCCCAGTGAGTGAAAATAAAAGAAAAAGGGAAGAGGAAGCCGAAGGACGCCAGGAAACGAAAAAACCACGATTGCCGCAGCCACTGGGACAACCTGGAAAACGACCACCGCCGAAAGCAATGCCCCGGGAGAAGCCACAGGCGCCCGCAGCAATTGACTGTCTGAAGTTGCACGCCCCTTTTCCAAAATCACTAGCTGAAAAGCTGTTGCCATTTTGCATTTGAACAGGCATCGAAAGCCGATGCATGTCAGGAGGCCACGACAAAATGAGGCGCCATTTATATAATGTTGGAAAAGCAGATTCATATCTTTTGCTGGCCAGAAGCGTTCACCGGCCAAATAAAAGAATGCCGCTGACCAGTGGCTGACCATCAGCATTGCTTTTTGCCAAAAGTATTCAGCCAAGCTGAGATTGCCAAGTGATGCCAAATGGATTCAGCAAAAACTTGCTGCTGGACAGCAATGCACACATTCAAATTCATGCTCAAAGCCACAAATGTATGCGATCATGTGCATGATAGTGACAGTTAAAGTAGACTTTGAAACGTTTGCATCAATGTTCTCAAAAACCCTTTGCCTGCACAATCACATCGTCAATGGCCAACATGTGTTAAAGAAACCTACCCGCTGGTTTGCCATGTCACAACAAGAGCTGCGCGCACTTCGGGGCATCGTCTTCAGTCAGCTGGACACGCTCCAAGCTTTGACCCAGGTGCTCTTCACCAAAGTGGAGCTGTTCCAAAGTGGAGTTGTCAAGAACAAGGGAGAGCATGAGGAGACTGAGAAGGAGCTGCAAAAAGTCAAAGCTCTTCTCGCAGGACTCTGACCGGGAGAAAAAAGAAAGCCCGCAGCAGGGTTCAAAAGTTAAAGAGGAGGCGGAGAAGGATGCAGAGGAGGTTAAAGAGGAAATAGAAGAAGCGCTAGAGGAACCCAAGGATGAAAGCGAGAAAGGAAGACAGATGGCCACAGCAGCAGAATCAAGAAAGCAAGAGGCGCGCAAGCCGAAACCCATTGATGGGCACCAGGTCTCAAGTATAGTGTGCAATGCCTGCTGATCAGCAGTGCTTTCCCGAGTTGTTGACTTTTTTTCCTGCCATGCGTTGCAGGTTTCCAGCAGTGGGGGAGCATCTTCCTCTACTGCGGCCATTCATACAAAGGATGAGGACAGGAGTTAAAAAAGAAGAAGTGTTGGCTGCTGATGTTTAACAAATCTTGACAGTTCATACCACTGAAAGACATGCCTCCCCACTGGACCGAGATAATGACGACTTTACCAACTTGTGCCGGAAAGCTACAAAACTGCATGAAGATCAAAAGTTGAAGGGGCCGCGCAAGAGCCTGGAAGAGAAGAGACCAAAGGATTGAATTTTGACAGTTTTTCATGTTTATTCGGTTCAGACCTACCTTGTTTCAAACTGTGAAGCTTGTGCTGCTTGCCACGTTGCAATGCAGGAGGAGGAGGGACAAGATTCACCGCCGTCAAAGAAAGGGAAAATTACATGGGCGGCCGGTTGATACCTACTATAGCGTTTTCACTAACTGCTGTTCAGCAGGCATGCTGTGCTGTACATCGCACTGGTTCCGCCAACACCTCGCTAAGCGGCAACGTGTCCAAAAAGGCGTTAGGTTTGCACTTGCTTGGGACTTTGTGCGTGCTAAGCCTTCCCATCATGTCCGGTATGTCCAGCATTGGCTTGCAACAGCTGCTGCCGAGGCTCCAATGTCCTCATTGCTGTTGCCGGTTGCCTAGCTCTAACCTGGTTGGAAATTAAGCTAGGGTTGTTGCTGGCCAGCAATGCTATGACCCAAAGACCGGAAAATTAAGAAATAAAATGCTCAATGACTCAAGTGTGAAAAATGGATGACGCAAGTTGCTGACCAGCAACTCACAAACACTCCAACACCGAACTGCTGACCAGCAGTTCCGTGACCAAAAGTTTGTTGAAATACAATCTCACGCTTGTGCAGCCAAGGAGCAGTGGCAAAGTTTTCCGCGGCATGTGATATTGCAAGCAAAGGGGCCGGATTCAACCAGACCACTTGAGCCCCTACCCTTTTTCTAAGGGTTGTGGAATTTGGATGACTACAAGCTATAAGCCGCTGGACTCAACTTCTTGCCATGATACAATTATGAAACAGCAGGAAACCACACCCACGAATTTAAAAACCATTGGTGAGAAACCAGTTCGCGCATCAAATCTGACAGAAAAAAGCATCAATCTTTGCTTCGCAGCAATGAAGTACATGCTGCTGGACAGCAGCAAACTGATTGGACATTTGGAGGAGTACCTTTGTACTTTACGGCTACCAGTGCAGAAGTGATAGCGCGTGAATTTTGTCCATGACGAGCTTTTATTGAAATGATCTGCGATTCTTAGTGTTTCTTCCGTGCTGCATAGTTCTGGCAGCATTTCTGCTAGGTGAAATCATGATGTTTCCTAATTTCATATCTTTCATCTCTCTACCTCATTCCCTCATTCCTGGCTAAAGTAAGGCTAGTCCAAAAATGGGGGGGTTCGTGGCTGGGATTTTCGGGGTTTATATCAGAAGGTGAGTTTAAGCCACTGGGGTTCCCAGACGGATTTTTTGGCTGCTCGTGTTGAAGTTGGTTGCTTTGTCAATTCCAAGTGGTTTGGAGTTGTTGAGGTGATAGAAATTCTCTCGTTCACCAGTGCTTCACGTTGTCTAGAATATGGGATGCGCAAAAATGTCAAACGCCTTGGTGGTCATTTATCATGTTTTGAAACACAGCCACGCTGTACATAATCCCAAAAACATAATTTCGAGGTAGTTTTATGTGTTTTTTCATGACCACCCTCTCTTGCTCGGAAAGTGTTATGAATGTGTTACTACTATTGTATATCACATACAATACAGTATGTATTACCATCTGGTTATTTAACATAGCCATGGAAAATGACCCATTTATAGATGGTTTACCTATTAAAAATTGTGATTTTCTATGGCTATGTTAAACAACCAGATGGTACTACTATTGTATGTTTTTTAGTCATGTGTGGCCGATGACTTCCTTTCTGAACCCCGTTGAACTCCATCCCATTTTCTTCGATCAGGTGGGATTGCTGCCTCAGCCCATCAGCCCAAAGTACAAGACCGCCTTAGTACAGATCTATGTGCCCAGTCAACCCTTCGGAGGATCTGACAAGAGCAACAGTGGCCATCGCTATGTCACCTGGAAAATTTAACCGAAAAGCGCTCAACAGAGCTCATAAAGGGTCATGGTCGTCAAGATTGCTATGTTGGAATGGGGATAGACTTATATGTACGTATATGTATGCAGGAGTACAATATACACACATTACATATATATATAATTATATACATATATAGCATAATTATACATATATATATATGTAATTATACATATATATATATAATTATACATATATACATATGTACAAAATGGTATACATATAGTATATAGTTATTTACATATATATACATATAATTAACTATATACATATATATATATAATTATTTACATATATAATAGTATAATTGCAGGCATATATTTATAATTATAATTATATATATATATATATATGTGCGTGTGTGTGTGTGTGTGTGCGTGTGTTGTTTTTTCATCTGTGTGATACATACATAACCTTGGTATTAGATATCCACCCATTCCTGGATCTCCGCTTTGTCAATGTTTGATTTTGGGGCCTTGGGTGCAAATCCAAGGATACAATTCCAATTGCCAACGGCATGATTGCATCGGGAATGAGCTGCCAGCTCATTCATTATGTTCCTGAGGAACATGATGCTCGACCTCTGCTGTAGATCTCATGCTGCAGCATCTGCTCTCCAGTATTTAAATATTCAAGACAAACGTCGAAGAATCCACCATGTCCATATCATTTTCTTGGGAAACCATGTTTTATCCGTGTCTATTCAAATTTATTGGATGGTATTGGGGTGAAATCCATTTTAGGGCGACAGACCCTCACAGCTGTGTTTATTTGCATTTCATTTTTCAAACATGCTTTCCCAGCAGAATGACTTTACCCACAAATAGTTTCAGGCCACATATAATATATATATATACTGTATGCATACTTATTGTCATCAGTCTATATTTCTCTATGTTTATTATATGATGACAATAAATAGAAAATGAATATAACATAGAGAAATAAGTTTATTCTCCATCATAGATTTCTCTATTTTTGTCATAGATCATTCATATTATATGGAGAATATTCGAATGATCTATGAATCTATGACCAAATGACAAAGCCGAGGATGCCTTCGTCAAAGCTATGGAGGGCTTCGATGCGATCATCGTGCGCTGCAACCCTGGGCAGATCAATGCTGCGGGAGGCACAAGAATCATTGGTGGAATGAATGGATGGCAAAATCTGGTGAATTTTCATATCAGAAATGGCAAAAGTTGTTATGGTTATAGGGATAATGTGATGATATATATGGTACAATGATATAAAATATCATGATATAACCATATCATTATATGGTGAATAATCATATAATACCAATATGAGAATATCAACGGTTGTTATGGTTATAGGGATTATTTCATGATTATTCATTAAATGTGATGATATAGTATGGTATAATGTGATGATATGATATGTGTATATATATATATGGCATAATGATTATTCATTAGTACTTTTATGGTTGTTAGAGTATGGTGGTATATATGGTAACCAATATAAAATATCATTAAATAACCATATCATTATATGGTGAATAATCATATAATACCAATATGAGAATATCAACGGTTGTTATGGTTATAGGGTTTTTTCATGATTATTCATTAAATGTGATGATATAGTATGGTATAATGTGATGATATGATATGTGTATATATATATATGGCATAATGATTATTCATTAGTACTTTTATGGTTGTTAGAGTATGGTGGTATATATGGTAACCAATATAAAATATCATTAAATAACCATATCATTATATGGTGAATAATCATATAATACCAATATGAGAATATCAACGGTTGTTATGGTTATAGGGTTTTTTCATGATTATTCATTAAATGTGATGATATAGTATGGTATAATGTGATGATATGATATGTGTATATATATATGGCATAATGATTATTCATTAGTACTTTTATGGTTGTTAGAGTATGGTGGTATATATGGTAACCAATATAAAATATCATTATATAACCATATCATTATATGGTGAATAATCATATAATACCAATATGGGAATATCAACGGTTGTTATGGTTATAGGTTTTTTCATGATTATTCATTAAATGTGATGATATAGTATGGTATAATGTGATGATATGATATGTGTATATATATATGGCATAATGATTATTCATTAGTACTTTTATGGTTGTTAGAGTATGGTGGTATATATGGTAACCAATATAAAATATCATTATATAACCATATCATTATATGGTGAATAATCATATAATACCAATATGGGAATATCAACGGTTGTTATGGTTATAGGTTTTTTCATGATTATTCATTAAATGTGATGATATAGTATGGTATAATGTGATGATATGATATGTGTATATATATATGGCATAATGATTATTCATTAGTACTTATATGGTTGTTAGAGTATGGTGGTATATATGGTAACCAATATAAAATATCATTATATAACCATATCATTATATTGTGAATAATCATATAATACCAATATGAGAATATCAACGGTTGTTATGGTTATAGGATTGTTTCGTGATTATTCATTAAATGTGATGATATAGTATGGTATAATGTGATGATATGATATGTGTATATATATATGGCATAATGATTGTTCATTAGTACTTATACGGTTGTTATAGTTTGATGGTATATATGGTAACCAATATAAGATATCATTATATAACCATATCATTATATGGTGAATAATCATATAATACCAATATGAGAATATCAATGGTTGTTATGGTTATAGGGATAAAATGTGATGATCATGGATTTATCAATGGTTATTGTGGTTACCCTCTGGTTAACATACAAAAGACTATGGGTTAAACCACCATTTTTATGTGGGTAAATCAACTACTTGTATGGTGGAATATTCATTCCAACATTTGGTGGATGGTACAACATTCTGGTGAATATTCAGTCCAATAATTATTGAGAAAGATGTTAGTGAATGGAATATCAACCGTGCTGTTTTGGTTATGGAAAGGGCTTTGCCATTCACCAAGCACAAAAACGAGCTATTTGTGGGATTATTCATTAAATGTGATGATCATGGATTCTGAATAAAAAAATGGAATGATAATGGATTTTTTATGCGGCGTTTTAGGCTGTTTAGACATATTGAAATAATGGGATATATTGGGAATATCAACCTGAATCATTTATTGTCATTCACATTCATGATAAGCTCAATTATTCCCTTCCAGCAATCAAGCGTGGCAATGCGAAAACGGTTACAAACGGAGGTGTTGATGGGAAATTCATCTAATATCATCTATAAATGGTTGGTTTTCCATTGCCATTTTTGATTACCAGAGCGTGTTTGTGTGTGTGTTTATTCATAGTTCATTTCTAATATTATTCTAATGACGAATAATAAACCATAATTAATGAACTATAATAATTAAATATTAAAAGATGAAAGATGATCATCAAATATAGCTCATTGTCACTGCAACTCCGGCTGGTGAACGTGCTGGTGAATTGGGGCATCCCCGGCAGATGCGATAACACTAGAACAAACATGATAGTGAATTATTGGGATAGTCCCGTGAATGTTTGTTGTGTACAACAAAAATCAATATTCCCATTAATGAATATTCAGTGTGTAGAATTGGAGTTTACCCCCTGTTAAACCAGTGAATTATTCATCCGTCGGTTACCATTGCTACCCTTCGGTAATCAGCTCCATTGCTTCTTCAGAATCCCCAGCCATACTTAGATGGGCCATGGAGTTCGTTAACTAGTTAGTAAATGGATTATAATTGGGATTTTTTTGGTGTTATATCCCCAGTTACTAACCAGTTAGTTAATCCCATGGCCCATCTAAGTAGTTCCATCCGTTTTTTCCACTTTCAAACCTCCCCGGTTTGGGATTTCGAAACGGTCCCATTTTTCGGGGGATGACATCCGTGGCAAGTCCATCAAAACAGCCGCGCGTTGCGCGCGAGGTGAACAAACGAAGTTCGACGATGCCATGAGGGCGTTGCAGAAGAAAGGTGAACAAACGGCACTGCCTGGGAGTTTTCCTCAAAGATTGCATGATTTTACCCTCTGGTTATGTCAAAATAGCTATTGAAAATGGCCATAGAAATAGTGGATTTGCCCATTGTAAATGGTGATTTTCCATAGTTATGTAAACGTTTACCAGAGGGTAATGGCAAAAACGGATCTGCAAAGGCATAAAACGAACATGTTCCCCCGGTTTCAGGATGAATTACTTGTTGAAATCTTTTGATGAGGGAGACCCCAAGCAAGTCATTTTCCAATCCACAAGAAACCTTGGGTAAGTGGTGGATTTGTTTGGGTTTCCATTTGGGCAGTAGATGGGATTAATTATTCACGATGACACAGCCATTGAGGCACGCAATTTGCTGGTATTTCACAGCAGGACATGTGCTACATGGTGTTGCTTCCTATCCTTGGTGAAGACTTTCCAATTTCTGCATGTCCATGTTACATGCCTTGGCCGTGCCTTGGCCGGTGGTGCTCGTGCCGGCCGAGGTAAACAGGTGTGGCCTTCCCCGGACGTGATGACCAACATGGGCGCCAAGGATGCCTTGTGCAAGATCGCCAACTTGGGCATCGGCTTGATCGACACCTTCGCTTACTACAGCCCAGAGGAGTTCGCGGCCGGCTTTAAGAAGACCATGGCATTCCAACCTCGGGTCATCAAACAAAACCGAGGCTCATCAGGTGAAGGAATCTGGATCATCAAACTCAAGAGCGAGAACTATTGTCACCTGGCGTGTCTAAGGCTGCCTTTTTTTTCCCAGTTGAATGTTTATTTTGAAGGGAAACCCAACAGTAATCAGAACAAGAAGTACATACACATAACTACATATACTTATGATTATACATATACCTAAATATATTTACATACCAATACCTTCTCTGCTTCCTTGCAGTACATGCATATAGAAAATTATAGAAATACACACATATATATATACATGTGTGTGTGGAGATGTATGTATAACATGATAAACTGGCTACATCTATGGCCCCCGCTGCCGCTACGGTGTGACAAGACCAATGTCATATTGTCATAAACCATCCCAACGACGGCATTTTTAGGTGTGGGAAAGAAATCATCCCCAAAATCAAGAAAGGTAAATCCCTCAGGTAAGAATCTTTGCATATAATACTATATAATGGATATTCATGTATAAAGGTGATGATATCCATATAGATCCATGAATATCCATTATATCCATCATATCCTGATTCATATATGATTATATGTGTATATATAACATACCATATGGATATTGGATATATCATATACTATTAGTGAAATATTATAATTTACCCATATATATATATATAGTTATATTGATATATCCATAATATCCTGCAGGCAAGAACTTTGGAGATCGCTCCTGCACTGACGATGAGGTCTTGGAGATGATGGAGGCACGGTGTTGTCCCGGTGCCCGTCGTCCCAAAATAAGAATTGGAAGGGAAAATCGACAGGAAACCATGGTGTTCCCCATGAAGTATGGGGATTTCCTGCAATTTTTTCCCCTAAACCAATCCAGAACTCAGCAAAACACTGATGAAACGTATGGGATTGTTTTCCTAGCGACCGTTTTTACTCATGGTTTACCCTCTGGTGAACTAACATAGCAATGGAAAATCACCATTCTTAATGGGAAAATCCACTATAAATAGCCATTTTCCATTGCTATGTTAGTTCACCAGAGGGTATAAATGTTTAACCGTTTTAACCCATAAGAAATTGAAATTCGCAGATTTCAGGGGATATATCCACCTTGGAAATCCGCAAGTCTTGTGACCATTGATTCGATGTGACCAACACTGGGCACTGCAAAAACATCGACTCAAAGGTGCTGGGTCGGGATTGGTGATGACGATGATGATGATGATAAATGACACAGATGACACAGATGACACAGATGATTGATGACAGATCTTAGATCTTACTGTAGATCTGAGATGATTGAGGATGATGTCGATGATGAGGATGATGTAGATGATGTCCATGATGTAGACGATGTAGATGATGTAGACGATGTAGATGATGCGGACGACGTAGACTATGTAAATTATGTAGATGATGTAGATGATGTTGTGAATGTGGATGGTGTAGATTGCGTAGATGATAGATGTGATAGATGTTGATAGATGTGATAGATATGGTAGATAACTACCATTTTTGCAACAATACGGGATTTTTAATCAACCGATCATCGACTTTATAATAGCACAACAATGGTATTATAATGTAATTGTTTAAGCTGCAGAGCGAATCAGTTTAGCTGCAGGTGTATATGGCCTTGCGTGGCATTCAGAACTGTTTAGCAATCCCTTTCCGATGTCATGGTATGGAAGATGGGGACTTATTTGTACCATGATCATCCCTGCCAAAACATGGAAGCGTTCTGCGCTTCATTTCAAACTTGTTGTTGCCGCTGATTTTGTGACATTGACCAAAACATGGCACTAGTCCTTGCACATGACCAGCCAATGAGGAAACCATGGCATTTTTCCCATCAAATGATCATTTCCATGATCCATAGATACATGGATAGTGTTTCTTAAATGACATTTATACTGGATCTTTATGGGTCATGTTCCGTGGTTTCAGCATGGATAAATTTGGAGTTTTTTGTGACCAATCTGCTGCAAGAGGCCTGCGACAACCATTCGGAGACCCACACCGTGGCGGAGTTCATTGAGTGTCTCAGCCAATGTTCGACACGGCATGGGTTTCGGCTGGAAGTGCTGTTCGAGTTGCCCTCAGACTAACATAGCTATGGAAAAAACAACCACTGATACATGATTTACCTTGAAAAATCCGGATTTTCCATGGTTATGTTGGTTTACTGGAGGGTATAAGTGGATAATTAATTATATCTATAGGGGTTATATGCCAACTTGTGGGAGTTTAGAACCATGGTTGTACCGAAGTTACACCCATAAAAATAACTTTTTGCGGTGCCCCTACATCCCTATGACCCTCCGGTAAATTGACCTAGACCCCGAAAATAATCAATGTTTAGCGGAAACTCATCTTCCAACCCCTATTTGGCAGAGTCTATCTGAATTTACTGGAGGGTATATGTCTAAGTTTACTCTTGTTCTTTCGAGATTTTCGATTTTACGCTTTTTGGGGAACAGTTTTGAAACATCATCATTGATGGAAAAATGACATATGATCATTTTTGCTGCGGTCTCATCCCCCTCCCAAAGAAAAGATGGTTTAGCCTCCGGTAAACTAACAGTTTGCTATTGAAAAATACGAAAAATTGGATGTTTTACCATGTTTTACCTATTAAAAATGGTGATTTTCTGTTGTTAACATTAGTTTACCAGAGGATATGTTCATGTATGTCCCAGGTTTTGCGTCAATGGGCGCACCTCTAAGAGCGGCAAGTGGGACACTGTGGGGACTGGAAAGTACTTGGAAGGCGCGGTTTCGGGAAGATGACTCGGTCGATCCATGGACACTGCTTGGTGGTTTGGAAGTGAATTAGCCATTAATAACCCCCATTAATCACCATTAATCACCATTAATCACCATTGACTGGTTGGTGGTTTGGAACATGAAATTTATTTGTTCCACATCTTGGGAATAATCATCCCAACTGACTTTCATATTTTTTCAGAGGAGTTGAACCACCAACCAGGAAGTGGATGACTCAGTCAACGATCAATGGACAGTCATGAAACTAGCCATATGAAGAAGGGACATACCCTCTGGTAAACCACCATGCCTATGGAAAAATCACCATTTTTGATAGGTAAAACATCCTATATTTATTTTTTGCAATAGCTAACTATGTTAGTTTACCGGAGGGTGATGAATATATATATATATATATATTTATTATACATAATAGCACTAAAGATAGTGACAATGATCATCATGATGATCATGGTGGGGATACACACTCCGGCAATTTGAACGGTTTGCAAACTGAAACATCATAAGTTTTTGATCGGTAAATCATCATAGATCATCTATGAATGGTCTATGAATGGGCCATGTTCTAAAGCTATGCAAGTACTCAGAGGAGAAACAATTCATTTCATGAACATCCCGAGGATATAAGGGGAATAGTTCGTTGGGATATAACCGAGATATTGCATGGGATACTTATATTTAAAAGCAGATATACTGGGGGGCGTCATGGGGATATAATGATATATTATTGTTATATATTTATAGTTACAAATGGCATATAAGCAACTTAAGCAACATGTGTGTTTGGCCTTGTCCAAGAATTTGTGGTTCCCGCCGCTCCAATGGGGAAGATGAAGTGAATTTTGCCACCATTTGGGGATGGGAAGGATACCTCAAAGGGAAGCTTTAAAGAAACGAAACCAACGAAAATCATTGACTGGTTGGTGGTTTGGAACATGAATTTTATTTCTCCATGCATTGGGAATGTCATCATCCCAACTGACGAACTCATATTTTTCAGCGGGGTAGGTCAACCACCAACCAGTTGAACGTTGGAAAGGGTACCCATGTGCCAAATCATGCTGGGATGCTACGATACTTCTCAGGTGGTGGCTATGTCCAAAAGGTTTGGGTTTCCTGCAGGTGTTCCCTACCAATTATCCTCTGGTAATTTAACATAGCTATTGAAAATTGCCATTTATAGTGAGTTTTCCATTTAAACATTGTGATTTTCCATAGTTTTTTGTATGTTTACCAGAGGGTACTGAACTTTTGGTTTCAGAACAGCCTTGTTAAATGTTGATTAATTTGTTGAATTTGGTTTCAACTTGTTAAGATTGGTTATCAAATATTGTTCAAAAAAATGTCCCAACATGTCAAGATGTCCTGCAACTGTTCCTGTAGTTTTTTCTCTGGTCTGTGGTTATCGGATTATTATCCAATAAATATCATAATTGGATTACTATCCAATAAGTATTACTATCCATATGCTATCATATATATATATATACAAGTATAGTATCTAATATGATGACTGGTTGGTGGTTTGGAACATGTGTTTATTTTCCATCATATACGGGATAACCCTTCCCATTGACGAACTCATATTTTTCAAGATGGTAGGTCAACCACCAACCAGTCATCATAGCTCTTGAAGCTTGGCCATGTGTAGCTGACGGATTTACCTATTCAACATCCTTGCTACCATGGCATTACCGTTAAAAATCCCCATGAAATTGACCATCACATATCATAGAATTGGATCATGGGAAAATTTTAACCGGAAAGCCCTATATATATATTTGATGGTAAAAACCATGGTAAATTCACCATGGTTTTCGGTGAAGATTTTCCCAACAAAACCAATCCAATGAACATAGCACTTGGTAGTTTCGTTACCCTCTGGTAAACATACAAAAAACAATGGAAAGATCCACCACTTTTAATGGGAAAATCAACGAACTAAATAACCATTTTCAATTGCAAACTGTTAGTCATTACCAGAGGGTAATCACCATTAATTCACTATTAGCCATTAATAACCCCCATTAATCACCATTAATCACCATTAATCACCATTAAGCCATTATCACCATTATCTTGGTAGTTTTGTTCTGTTTTCTTCACCTCAGGTGGAAAGGCGGCGGGAGGTCAACTGGTGGACCAACGCTTCTGCCCACGGATCGTGGAAGGCGCGCTAGCGCGGCGCGTAACGCGCGGCCGGGTGATGAGGGCCAGTTATGGTGATTTCTGGGCCGAAAGGTGGGGAAAATGATGGGAAAATGTGTGGAAAATGATTTAACATGGATGTTTTTCCCTACAAAAAATGGGAAAATGTTGGGAAAATGATGATTGGACATGGAATTTGGGTGCTTTATGTCTTCTCTATTTGGATTTGGAGCGAATTTGGCGTGTTTTTGGCGTCCAAGTTATGGATTTCATCATGGCTGGATGATTTAAGAGTGATCATAGCTGCTCTTAAGTATTTCAGTGGCTAATGACATCACTACTTGGGGCATTGGTTTCTTACTTACTTACTAGGAGCATGTTTTGTGTGTTCATTACATACTTGAGGTGAGGCTCCCCAGTTTCGTAAGTGGCTTTGCAAACCCTTAGTATACTACAGTTATAATTACCATAAACCCTAGTTATACAATTAGGGCTTTGTGCTTATAATCATTATAATCACTAAACCATGAATGACGGGTTTGATTCTAGAAATACTATGGTTTATTACCACACTACTATGGTTGGGTTTGATTAATGTTTGATTATTACAGTATATAATACTATGGCAGTTACTATGGTTAATTAATGTCAATTACCACAATACTACTGTGGATGGTTACAAAATCCTGCACCACCAAAAGGATGGTTGAAACCCGAAAAATAATGGGATAAACAACCACCTAGACAACTGGTGCAGGATTTCGCAACCATCCACTGTATTTCTATACTTATAATATGTATAAGCCTAGCAGATCCTAGCAGATACTAGCAGTAACCGCCTCGCCGTTCGTTCCGTCAGGTGAAGTGCGAATGAACATGATCGGAGACACCTGCACCGGCATCATCCACAAGAACCGCGATGCAAAAAAAAAAAGGATGGGGATGGGAATCATTGCGAAAATCCATTGATTATAGTAATACTGATATATATATATATATGGATTATAGATTATTATAGTATAATGATCTATATAACTAAGATCCATATCTATAATATCATAGGGATTGAAAAATCCAGAGTCAATTGATGTTCAACAGATGAATCAAGATGTTTTACGAGATGTTTTCTTTTAGAAAAAAGATGGAGATGAAGTGACTGAAACTGCAGCTTTGCCTCTGTGGCTGAAGGCACCTGGAAACTTCGACGTGTGTCGATGATTCTTTTGGTTCTGTTTTTGTCAACGGAATATCTACTGGCAATGGATCATATTTTTTGGGAATAGTGGTTATGTTGTTGCTCGGGGATTCCTCAAACAAATGGAATCAAATGCAAACATCCTTCCAATATTTTTCACTGTAATTAGCCTCTGGTAAACATACAAATAGCTATTGAAAATGACCATTTATAGTCGATTTGCCCATTGAAAATGGTGATTTTCCATAGTTTTTTGTATGCTTCACTGTAATTAGCTGGGACCTCAGCAGCCATGAATGTTGGAGTTGCAAGTGCCACAACTTTGGGACTGGCTTTGGGCTGTTGGGACCCCCAATTCACCAAAATTCACCCCGTGATTTCATTTGTTTCCCATCACCTGAAAAGTATTAGCTATGAGGAACCTCCGTTAATTCAACATAGCTCATTTGGTTGGTGGTTTGGAACATTTTTTCCCATATATTGGGAATAATAATCCCAATTGACGTTCATATTTTTCAGAGGGGTTGAAACCACCAACCAGTCATCATAGCTCTTGAACATTGGCCATTTGTAGCTGATTGACGGATTTACCTATTCAACATCATTGGTACCATGGCATTACCGTTAAAAATCCCCATGAAATTTACCTTCACATAGCACTTGGTAGTTTCGTTATGTGTTGTTCACCGTTGAAAAAAAATACCCTTTGGTAGTCAAAGGTGGCAGTTGAAAATCCTCGAACTAAATGTTGCTTTAATGGGACATAGTGCTGGTGAATTTTCAAGCCACGTGTGATGAAACCCTTTCGGGTACTAAGACCTGTATTGTTCGTGAGAATTGAGTGATTTTCATCCGAAAAACATCGAAAAACCATAAATTCATCAATGAAAACCATAGTTTTAACATGTTTTTTTCCACCCCTTTAAGCCTTTTTTATATCCCCATCATTCCCCCTCCTTTCGTTGCACCCAGGAAACCCAAGGCAGGCGGTATCTCAGCAGTGGGTGGCACGGGGTCGATCTACACCTTCTATGGCCCAGATGCGCCCGAATTCAAGCAGCTTTCAGAGGACGCGATGACGCGATGGAGATGAAATGGTGACTTGACTTATCCCAAATGATATAAAGTACTTAATTATAGATTATAGTTATATCATGTTATATTTTTATATGTATAATGTATGTGTATATATATATATATGTGTGTGTGTGTTTTTATATAGATGGATGACATGGATGAAATGGCAGCTTTTTATAGTGGCAACCCTCCAGTTGTTGAACATAACTGTGGACATGTATTTTTTTTAATCGGTTTTTATCAATGTGAAGCATCTACAATCTGGAAAGCCAAATGCCTCGAATTGCAATTTTGGGGCATGAAACCCAACAGAAACACCAAAATGATGGGCGGATGTGGAGAACTATGGGGTGCAGCGACTGGAACCGCAGTTGGAAGCACTTAAAGTGGAGCCTGACTTGTAACGAAGCCATCTTCCTGGATTGGGTCCCAACTGACTTGGCAATTTTCTCGGGATTCCACTGCCCCTTCAACCAACAACGCTCGGTCGTCCTGTAAACGCGCGCTTCATTAAGCGCTTTTCCCATAAGCACAGCGTGTGTCTGTGCATTTTGTACCATTTTTTTGAGGGTTTAGTGGTGTCAGTTTTGGGAGGCGTGTCCACTCCTTTTTTTCATGGGAGCCAAGTGTTGTCTTTGTCAATTTGAAACGCGTGACCTGGTTGAATACCCATTTGGTTTTTTCGATCTCTGCGATATTCTGCAAAGGCCGTCACCAGAGGCATCAACCCAGGCTTCTCTAAGAGACGCTTGACAGCAAACTGCTGCACCTGAGCATTGCGTGGGCTGATTCTACCCAGCATATTGGTGCGGCGCATCTGGCCTTTCACTCGACTAATTTCAGATTCTGCTGAATTGTCGCCTCCGACGATCAAAAAGGATTGTTTCCTTTTCAAAGCTGCCGGTCTCTTCAAGACTTTCGAGGCCTTTGTCAAAGTCTTCTGCTGCTGCTTTGTCATGTCACTTTGGTTCAGTTCGACGGTCGGTGACATCTCATCGATGCAATGACGGGCAGGTGCATTAGGAAGTCCAAACTTGCGACAGGTCGCTGTCAGGGCCTGCTCTGCTGGAATTTTGATTGTTGTTGTTTTAACACGAAGATCTTGGGGTGAAAGACATAATAGAAAGAGAGATAGATAGATAGATCGATAGATAGATAGATAGATAGATCGATAGATAGATAGACAGATAGATAGACACATATAGAAAGAACAAACTAGATGGATAAACAGATAGATACATAGGTATAGAGGTAGATAGAAAGGTCTTTAACATATCATATAATATATTCATAGGTATGAAAAGAAAAACAGGTAGTTTTGCGGCCCCAGCCTTTGCGCTATCCGTAGCACTGACGCAGCTCTTTGCATCCACGTGTCTTTGCAACGCCTTCCGCACTGTGGTTGCATCTTCGGGAGGTGATGGAGCCCCTTTTTGAGTCGTTCTAGGCCGCATGGTGACCATGACAACTTTCCGACTACCATGTCCTTTCACATACAGCATGCGACCGTGATGAACCATAGGTCTCTTGTCGCCTCTTGCAGCTTGATTTCGGGCAAAGCGACCAGGCAAAGGAGGTTTCACGATAGTGTTGGAACTTTTGGTGCGTCGCCTTCGTTTCAGGTGTGTGGGCTGACTGGTTTTCTTGTGGCTGCACACCTTGCTTCCATCCAGTTCCACAATTTCGTCTTGAAATTGCACCTTTTCTTGTTCTTTGCTTTCCATGTATGCTAACACAAAAAAACATTCATTGACCCACCGATCCAGCAATTTCTCGCTCAGAGAATGTTTGGCATCTTGAACCATGTGCAAAATGCTATCTTTTGGAACTTTCACCGAAACGGCAAAAAGCACACGAAGCCATAGAGCATATTGCGGAGAGTACCCACGGGACATGCTGCTCCAAAAAGGAGTGTAGGACAAGGAAGCATTCTTCAATTCCAAAGCATGCCGACCTTTTGTCCGGCAACGGGGACACTGCAGAACATCAACTACGTCATTTCCTGAGGAGGAGGACGCCTTATTGCTTTTCTCAAGGACCGAGTCACATTCCCAGCAGTGTAATTTTTCTTTCTTGCCGGGCAAAACCTCATGAGAACGTAGGAACTTCTCAGCTTTGCCATCAGACCATTGTGTGATATCAGCAAAGTAGATCTCTTGAGTCAATCGTCGAAGTCTGGTTCCCGTCCGTCGGGACTTGTCAGTTCCACGATCATGAGTGCTTGCCTTCAGACCAAGAGCAACATGTTTTCTGTTCGTGGCGCGAACATTTTTCAGGTTTCTCTTTGGTCTTTTGGAAAGGGCAGGTGCCTGGAATTTTTTTGGTCGAATAGTGTTTCCACCCATGCCGAGAGCGGAGCTACATTGAAACGGTGCCTGACTAAAAGAGTCAGGGAATAAGACTCTGAAGCCGGACAAAGCGTATTCGACATTGTGTATGAATACATTCTTATATCTATCAATATATATATAAATATATACACATAAAACCCTTGCAAAGGCGCCACCTGCCAGACGACCTCAACCCGTACCTGGGATTTACATATATATATTTTTTTCTTTATTTATCTATTCCCCTTTCTATAAGTGCATGAATACATTCTTATATCTATCAATATATATATATATATACACATAAAACCCTTGCAAAGGCGCCACCTGCCAGACGACCTCAACCCGTACCTGGGATTTATATATATATATATATTTATTTATTTATTCATTTATTTAGTTATTGATCTTTCTACAAGTGTATAAATACATTCTTATATCTATCAATATATACATATATATATATAACAGTTTTACATTGTTCATTCACACTTTTGGATATGTTTCTTCATATGTACCTATCGGTATGTTAGTATCATCTATCACAAATATGTTATTTCTTCTGTCACCACGAGCACTCTTGAAGGTAGGCCCGGGGGCAGGCTCATCTTCAAGAGTGTGCATGATGCAGTGGACTGTGTGTATCAGGGGTTGGGTTTAGCCCAACACACACCGTCCTTACTTGGGGACCACTACTAAAACATATCGAGTATTTCCATTATCCGCCGCTCCTGTGCTTTATTCTGCCCTGGTTTGAGGTCCGTGGCGGAGATTCCAGCGAAGATCCCCGCGGAGACGTTTCATGTCTCCAAGGACTTGTTTTGGAAGTTGGTCCAAGGAGCCAAAGTATGGCTGTTGATGCCAACAACCCCGTTTGTTTTGATGGTCGACTTCACGAAATTTTGGGCAACGAAGCACTACTTTTCCTGCATGACGTCCACCGTATGCAACAGTGACATATCTTCCACGATGGTGAGTTGGACACATTCCATACTTGCACGCACGCTTTCGGTGTCGTTGAAGAGCTGCAACATGCAAACGTTCTTGCCACCTCTGCGGACGTGGTCGCACATCTTCTGCATGCGGACTCGCATCGTCATGGGAGCTGTTACCATCCGACTCCGGTTCACTCCAAGCCGCGACACCGTGATTGTAGTCCGCAGAGTACCGAGTCATTGTCATGTCATAGAATTTGGTAGGCACTGAATCATCCACTATCAAAGGAGGCAAAGACACGTGAGAATCTACATCAAGTGTCACGTCTGAACCCGGTTCTGGAACCGTCTGCTCCAATCTCACTTCCAATGCCAGATCCGTAGGCATGCTCACTTCTACCACATCTTCTGCAACTGGAGCAGAGCCACTGCCCAACAGCAAGGCGGACATGTCCTCATCACATTGTACTATATCAGGTTCCGTATCATGAAGACCATGCAGAGCTGAATCAAGGAAAGCCTCAAGACGAGGCAAATCCCAAGCAAAATTCGAGAAAAAAGCAGCGGCCCACACGGGAATCCGAAGAGTTTCTGATGATGACGGCGAAGACTCATTTCGTTGCTGCCAATACAGTGGAAGACGCCGCAGTTCCTGAGGAACTCGCAACATGAATCCGAGGTAAAAGATGGAAGCAAGGACTCATCAAGATGAAGCAAGGAAGCAGAGTTAAACGATGGAACAACAGAACATTCAAACAGTCTCAATGTATTCTGGAATTGCAACAACATTTCAGTCCGTCCTCGTTCGATACATCCGGGACGTTCATGTCAATCACAGAACCGGGAGGAGGAGATAACGCATTTGCCCTCCAACGCTTCCTGGTCGAAGATATTGACACAGACGTAGTGCAACTATCTCCCACATCCGACTTCAAGGTGGATGCAAAAGACAGCGAGGGAGGAACAACACCAGATTCTAGCGACAGCGAAGGAGGAAACCACGTCGCATCGCGGTCATTGCTCTGCATGGCAACCGACCTCAGCTGCCAAGCAGATTTCAACAGAAACTGTCAAGATGGCAGGTCAAATACTGCGAAGAAAAAATATATTATCCAAGCAACTCAATCCAGTGCGGACATTGCAAACTCGCTGGATCAGCTGCAACCGCAGACAGCAGAGCTTGCACCTGACTTGCAATGGCATCATCTGGCAAACACCTACCATTGTGTTTGCGTCGCAAATCTTCTGCAGCAGAAGCCACAGAAGCGCTCTGCAAAGGAAAGCGTCTATGATGTCGCTTCAGCATGTCCTGCATCACAGGCCAGCCAAGCTCCAGGTTGGCCCATGCATATTGATCATCTGCAAGAAGTACCGACCGCACCATATCCACAGACGCATCCGCACCAGCAGGAATTTTGAAGACCTGTCACAGGGATATCAGGACCAACCAGTCTTGATACGATGAAAAAAAAATCTGAACCAAGCGTGTTAAACATATCCCACCTCATGAAGCTCCAACAAAATGTCGGGAGTAATGGTTTGCCACGCTTTCAGGAGAGGAGGCAGACGCAGACCCAGCGCTTTCAAAAGAAATAAGAGAAGCAGAGCGGCTCCCACAGAATACGCCATTTGAATCACACGCGGTTGCAGCGCCGTCACTCTAACCCTTTCCGATCCGTATCCATGCTACACACTAGTCTTTAAAGCAGTGATGATAACTATGTTTCATTAATAAATATATGTCTCTCAAACTCTGTAATCAACAACTGTCTTGTGTTAGTGTTTCTATGACTCATGTGGAAAAGGAAAAACATGATGGATTAACACAACCCAAAAACCAGAAAAAACAACACTGAACCAAGGGCAAACGACGGGATGCAGTTGAATCAAACATGCCTTCCACTTCAACCGTCACAAAAGTCTAGCATCCGACGGCACTCAAGATCACATGATTCAAAGCTGAAAAGATTTCCACACCAGTTAAAGAACTCATTTCCCACACCTGTTTCCCTTTGACTGCAAACAAGGTATAACACTTTGGTCAGGAAAATTAAGCGAAAATAATACATGGTTATGTATATATTTAAATTTACATACAACTACGTGACGTTCGTCACCAGCTACAACTACCCTAACAAGAACCAAAAATCATACGACAAGTCCCCGGAATCCAGAGAGCGATCTGGGCGCCCATACCTGAGACACAGGGCGTATGCATGTACTTTTACAAAGAAGTTGTAGCCTAAAACCTCATTGCTGGTGGCTCGGTCGACCTGCAAGAACATTACTTCACGCGTAACATGAACGTTATCATCCCACCCCACCCCACCCCATCCATCAACGTAGCACTGCGTAACGATGTCCGCGTGCAGGAACATTACATCAACATCGCAGTGCGTTGTGCATCACGTGTAACATGAACGTTATCATCCCACCCCACCCCCCCACCCATCAACGTAGCACTGCGTAACGATGTCCGCGTGCAGGAACATTACATCAACATCGCAGTGCGTTGTGCATCACGCGTTACATGGACGTTATCATCCCACCCCACCCACCCCACCCCACCCCATCCATCACGTAGCACTGCGTAACGATGTCCGCTGCAGAAACATACATCAACATCGCAGTGCGTTGTGCATCAGCGCGTAACATGACTTATCATCCAACCCCACCCCACCCCACCCCATCCATCAACGTAGCACTGCGTAACGATGTCCGCGTGCAGGAACATTACATCAACATCGCAGTGCGTTGTGCATCACGTGTAACATGGACGTTATCATCCCACCCCACCCCATCCATCAACGTAGCACTGCGTAACGATGTCCGCGTGCAGGAACATTACATCAACATCGCAGTGCGTTGTGCATCACGCGTTACATGGACGTTATCATCCCACCCCACCCCACCCCACCCCACCCCATCCATCAACGTAGCACTGCGTAACGATGTCCGCGTGCAGGAACATTACATCAACATCGCAGTGCGTTGTGCATCACGCGTTACATGGACGTTATCATCCCACCCCACCCCACCCCACCCCACCCCATCCATCAACGTAGCACTGCGTAACGATGTCCGCGTGCAGGAACATTACATAACAACATCGCAGTGCGTTGTGCATCACGCTTACATGGACGTTATCATCCCACCCCCACCCCAACCCAAATCACGTAGCCACCCCACTTACATCCACCCCATCCCCATCGTTTCATCCTCCCACCCACACCCCACCCCACCCCACCCATCCATCAACGTAGCACTGCGTAACGATGTCCGCGTGCAGAACATTACATCAACATCGCAGTGCGTTGTGCATCACGCGTTACATGGACGTTATCATCCCACCCCACCCCACCCCACCCATCAACGTAGCACTGCGTACCGATGTCCGCGTGCAGAACATTACATCAACATCGCAGTGCGTTGTGCATCACGTGTAACATGGACGTTATCATCCCACCCCACCACCCCATCCATCAACGTAACGAACGATGTCCGCGTGCAGGAACATTACATCAACATCGCAGTGTTGTGCATCACATGGACGTTATCATCCCACCCCACCCCATCCATCAACGTAGCACTGCGTAACGATGTCCGCGTGCAGGAACATTACATCAACATCGCAGTGCGTTGTGCATCACGCGTTACATGGACGTTATCATCCCACCCCACCCCACCCCACCCCACCCCATCCATCAACGTAGCACTGCGTAACGATGTCCGCGTGCAGGAACATTACATCAACATCGCAGTGCGTTGTGCATCACGCGTTACATGGACGTTATCATCCCACCCCACCCCACCCCACCCCACCCCACCCCACGAAACACTGATATACGTGGTGAAAAATGCACAAAAACACGCTGTGCCTATGGGAAAAGCGCATAAGAAAGTGCGCGTTTACAGGTCGACCGAGCCACCAACAAGTCACAGCTTTCCTCTCCTTTCAGCAACCAGCTATTTGTTGAAAAGATTGCCATTGTTAAATGGTCACTACCCCAAATTAATTCACAAAAAATGGTTACAGCCAATCCTTATTGTTAATGTGAGGCAATAACCAGTTCATAGATGGTTGAATAGTCAAGCAACCAGTTGTTATATGGCTAAAAACTTGTAGTACCAACTATTCCATATACTTAAGTATATCCTCAAAAGAACTTAAATCATCTCACATGACCTTCCTTAGTATGGTTACCGATGATTCACGGATTTAACAATCGACAAAAAAAGCATCTCTGTGCTTACAACTCCCGAGTGGTGCGTGCAAAGAAAATGTCGCTACCTGTGGTAGGACTTCCTGAAGAACTCCATCCCAACTCTCATGGAGAGTTTGGATTTGAAGGGCGAGCCATTGCCCTTGTGGTGGACAGGTGGGGACCTCTTGGGGACCTCTTGTGGCTTGAGGGAGATTGCTCTCACGAGAAAACTGGTTGGTGGTTTCAGACAGGTTTTATTTTCATTTATTTTCCACAATATATGGGAAAATTCTTCCCATTGACGATCTCCATCATTTTTCAAGATGCTTAAAACCACCAACCAGATAAGAGAATATTAGATATTATATACATATATATATAGGATACCATATGGATATTAGATATATCATATACTATTAGATATTATGTACATATGGAGGTTTGCTGGAATGGGGATACCCCCAATTCTCATCCATGTTAATAGGATTGTCCACTATAAGCCATCCAGCTACTACGGGGGGACCACCATTTTAGGAAACCCACATATATTTATAATATGTATATATATATATGTATGTATATGCAATATATGAGAATAATGCATGATAGTATTTGATGATAATGGATATAACAACAGCAATGGATATAACATTGACACTATCAGATTGTTTATATTATATATGTATATGATGAACAGATGGAAAATCACAATTTTTAATAAGTAAATCAATGTAAAACAAGGAACTACAATATGGGATTCACCCAATGCTATCAACCTACCATTTGGAAATGATTAAGAAGATTACACCCGTAAAAAATGATGACTTCAGGGGTGGCCTGTTGCGTTTTCCATGTTTTTCCCCATTAATATACATAAATCACCGGCTGACACACTGTTATGGGGCTGGGATGCTCGCCTTTAGCCTGACGTGTTTAGTAATTAGATTCATGCCACCCTTTCCTATGCCAAAGTTCAGATGTATTGCATTGGAATTTAGCCTGAAAAAGTCACGAAGTACCCTCTGGCAATTTAACAAAAAGCTATTGAAAATGGCCCATTTAGTTCGTGGATTTCCCCATTAAAGGTGATTTTCCATAGTTTTTTGGTAGGTTTCGCAGAGGGTACATAGCATCATCCTCATCCTTTGTCCATGCGCCCCTTCTCCTCAGTGACCCCTTCTGAGGCGATTTCATCAACGCGGACCCAGGAAAACCCGGAAGCCCCTGCACCATTGACAAGTGGATCGTCGGTGCCTGGGACGATGACCAAATGTTGGAAAGCTGAAAAAAATCTAGGGAGACCTCATCGAACTCACATCTGGTTGGTGCTTTGGAACATGTTTTTTTTATTACTTTCCAGATATTGGGAATGTCATCATCCCAACTGACGAACTCCATAATTTTTCAGAGGGGTGGCTCAACCACCAACCAGAACATCCTTTTGTAATTACCCTCTGGTAAACCTACAAAAATTTATGGAAAATCACCATTTTCAATGGGTAAATCCATGAACTAAATCACCATGTTCAATAGCTATGTAGCAAATTACCAGAAAGTATATATCAACGTCGCTATGAAGCACCATGTTTAAGAAAGGGAATAGGCTAGGATAAATCACCGAAGTCATTGAGTGGTTTCCAGAGCTGTGTGAAATGACCGGTTTGAGTGCTGAAATGTTGGGGTTCCTCGGGTTTTGAATGGGATTTAATGGACTGTATATGATAGGGATTTAATGGGATTTGAATGGGATTTAATGGGATTTGTTGGGATATTAACTAATGTTTAAATGGGATTTAATCCGAATATATAGAAATATTTGGAGTCCAATATGAATCATCTATATGGGATTTCATGGACTCTAATGTTCTTTAATATAGAATTGAACGGATAGTCCTCGTGGAACAATATGATAATATATGGAATATATTGAATACCTTCACTAAGATGGTGCCCCAACTCCTTAAGCCTGTTTAGTTTGGGGTAAAAATGTGGGACCCTATTCTATGGTTCCAGTCATGTGTGTAAATTTCATCCCCTACATCCACCGTGGTTTCTCGGGTTTGCATTATAATAAACAGGGGCAGGAATTAATTATGATTAATTACAGTTGGTTAGTTCCTATCACCATCAATCTGAAAAATCACTATGTTTGATGGTTATCCTCTGGTAAATTGTTACAGCTATTGAAATTGGCCAAAACATAGTTGATTTACCCATTCAAAATGGTGTTTTTCCAGACTTTTTCTTATGTTTACCAGAGTGTGACACCATGTTAAAGCGTTAAAGCCCTATGAAATCCCCATGAGAAATCTCCAGGATCTTTCTCCGAGGTGAATTCAACTGCTCCTGTGTGGGTATCTCCAAGTGTTTGCCCGCCTATTGCAATGCAGAGAAGCCCAATGCCAGCGTCTATGATATCCCCGTGAAGGACTTTGTGGAGGTGCACTGTCTGAAATATTTGGGCGAAGCAAATTTTTGGGCCATGGCTGCCATGTTAGTTGATCAGAGGATAGTATGGATAGCAACCCTGTCATTTCTGGGGAAGTTGGATCACGTTTTCAGCTTTGCGAACTGGAAGTTAATATGGTCTAATAGGGGATAGAATAATAAAGGGTACCTTGTTTTCAGGCAAAACCACATGTTTAACAGAAACATCATCGCTATACGAGATGCATATCTGCAAATCTACCGATGCACGCATATGATTTTACGCAAGCGGTGGCTATGTACATAGTCCTGAACATGCAATTGTGTTTTCCGCATGGATAATTTTGATTTACTTATATAATCTCATATAATATATATATATACATAACTCTACAAGTATAGATATATATATATATGTGTGTGAATATGAATATATATATATATACATATTTGTATATGTGTGCGCGCACGTGCAGAGCAGCAGCCAGGCAGCTAAAGTTATCTAAAGCTTGAATCAAAATGGTTAATTAATTCTGATGGCGGCCGTTAACAGGCTGCGCTGCCAGATTTGCCAGCCTAATTTGCCTCCAGTTACCAAGATGATTCTCATACAAAAATCCAAGAACAAAGTAAGCAAGAGAAATTCACTGTCCTGACTTAAAATCACCAAATCCTTCGCCAAATCATATCATGTTCCTTTTGGGTTCACCTGCATTTCACTTCTGATTGGTGGTTTGGAACATTTTTCCATATATTGGGAACCCAACTGATTCATATTTTTCAGAGGGGTAGGTCAACCACCAACCAGACTTGATCTACTCAGTTGGATCATACCATGTTTGTCCCAAGAAAAACTAAGCCCCGAGGCCACGTACCTTGGCAACTTGATGGGTCAGAAGGCTTTGGCCATTCTCGACGGACAAGGTTCGGTTCGGCAACGGCTTGGCGGCAAAACACGAAAGATCGGATTGATGAAAAAGTTTGGGGGTTCCTAGGGGTACCCCCAGTTCTCATCTATATAAATTTTACAGATGTCTTTTCCATTTTTAAAAAAAAACATCCATGTTTAATGGGAGACCCCCATCTTTTGAAGAAAAAACGAATTGAACATCCACAACAATATATTGAATTACCAACATTTACCAGCGATTTTCTTCGGGCAGTTTTTTGAGCCCCAACTCAAACTCCATGGCCAGACGAGGCCTTTTTCACCCTGAGGACTTGTAGTGACTGTGCCCCAAATTGTAACGACCTCACGTCGTTCTCCCGAAGCCTGGAATCATGGTTTTTATAGGGGAATCATCCCAAAATGGCCGAAATTTTCAGGTGAGTGAATTATTATTGGCCCAGGTATTTGAAGCCCATGGTAACTTGGAGATTCCCCATTTGAAAGCCCCATTTCATACAGATGAAAAGGTCAGTTTCACAAACTATTCTTCCTTGGTCCATTTCGCACGACAATCGACAGCTGCCCTGCCAATAAACCAGAAACCTGCAATTTCTTGGCAAGTCGTTGCAAGTCTGCACCTTCAAACGCGAGTCCGCAATGACTGTTCTGAGCAAGTGTGTCTATGCGCGATTTAAATGATGTTGATTTGTGTCTGCTTAATGAAGCACACCCAGAATTGCATACTATTTCCTTAATTAATCTTCAGGAATGACCTCAGGATTCTGCGGTTGTATTTTTTTTTAACCATCAGCTCCCCAAACAACAATGACCATGCTTTGGACTTGTGGCGTGGATTGTTCTCGGTGAATCAATCTCATATAATGTTGGTAAAACAATGTCATAAACTACCCGTAGTTTGATGGTTGGAATCCCACCCATTCATAATGTTCGGGATGGATCATGATTGCCACACATGTGTTGCTAGCCTGGTTTGAAGGCGGCTAGCTGTTGTAGGGGCTTTTAAAAGGAAATCTGGCAAGCCATTTTTGCAGTGATGATTCAAGAATGTGCAAAAATATCCTGGCAATTTCAGCTTGGAAATGCTTTGGAAATCATTGAAATTGAAACCGCTTTTTCACCCAGAATAGTCCAGTAATTTTACAACCACTATACCTGGTTAGGTTTGCCGCCCCTTGTGCAATGAAAATCCTCAGAAAAACCTGAACCACCATTTATCAATCGCATTACTCAATTACAGTATGATGGGTAAAATCATTCATTTGACTTTCAGGACTATGGAAAGCAAAAAAAAGCAATCAAGTTCAGCTATGATAATCATCATACTTTCCTTAAAATCATCCATTTTTCAGGGGATTTTTTCAGCAGCTGTCCTTCAAAGTCGTATCCTCCTAGTCATCATTTTCCGTGGGGGATTCATCCCATCATTTCCAGGGATGTTGGACCCTTTTGTTAAATAACTTAGATGAAGAAGATGGTAAGTATAGATAGAAACACCTATTTGTTTTTGGATAAACTGATCTGGTGAACTATGGTAAGTACATGTAAGTACTATAGAAAAAACTATGGATCTTCACCTGTTTTCCGATAGTTTATCAAAAAACAACACGTCTTTGTTTTTCTCAAAAGAAAAGACTGATTTCCTTATCCAACAGATCATCTAGATTTCACTGGCATGATTTCTTTCTCTTTTTAGAAAAAACACCTTCATGGTCTTATCCAACAGGTTCATTTAATCCCCCAAAAATCACTAAGAACTCATGAATTCGTCTCTTATTGTTTGATATTATTGGGGATAACAATGGATAACACATCAATGGATATTACACCTTTTTTTCTATCACCCCAAAATAGCTGGTAAATGGATGTTCATCCCATTAGAATTGATAATAATAGGTTTTGACCCGCCCCCAGATGAACCAATGGTAAACTAACATAGCTATTGAAAATGGCCATTTATAGTGGATTTTCCCATTAAAAATTGTGATTTTCTATAGTTTTTTGTAGGTTTACCAGGCCGGGTACACCTTTTTTCTATCCCAGATGAACCACTGATTTCTCAGTCACAAAATCCATCCAGATGGTCCATGGTCCATGCGAGGCGCCAAGATGTCGCCCAACGCCACGAAAGTGCTCAGTCGCATCGAAGCATTGCGCGGCGCGGCGAAGGCGGGCGTGCTCAGCAGCGAGGAAGCAGGTGCGGCCGATCCCAGTCGGTGATCCCATGGGCCAAAAATGGTGCTTTAAACATGGTGATGATGTGAGGAAATGGCTTCAAAAAAGATGATTTCTTGTTTTTTGATGGGTAATTATATGCAAAAATAAACCAAAGTGATATTAGCAAGATATTCTGGTTGGTGGCTTGGAAAATGAGTTTTTGACATACTTGTTGATTGAGGAAGATGGGGGAGGGTTATGGGTTTACCTAACAAGGTTGCAGCCATGTGCTCTATAGCTGCGATTGTTTTCCCGAAAAGGCTGTCACTATGCCTAGTGCCACTCCAAAATGGGAGATCTATGGCTTGACGCTGGATTGAAGTTGGCTGGCAGTTTAGTAACCGTGGATATGAAATATAGCGAGTTTACCAGCCCCAAAGTGGCGATGATAAATATTCACCAGTAAGAAAAGGTGAGTGGATCGAAATATTTTAGCTGGTTGGTGGTTTCAAACATTTTTTATTTTCCATAATATATGGGGTAATCCTTCCCATTGACTGGTTTCAACCACCAACCACTTTAGAATTATACCCTCTGGTTATTTGTTACATAGCCATGGTTAAGCCATGGCCCATAGAAATAGATGGTTTTTGCCGTTCTTAATAGCATGGTGGATCTTTCCATGGCAAACTGTGAGTCATAACCAGATGGTAGTTCTATCCCTACTGGATGATCGTTAACGCTCAAGGAGGGACCTCAGGAGGAGATGCCAAGCATGAATCTGGCAGCGATTCCGATGCTAGAGCTGAGGTGATAGACTGAGGTGATGAAGGATGAAGAAAGTGCCAAACCCGCCCCTGGTTGATTCATGAGGGGGGTTATTATATGTTATTATAGTTTTATATATATATACCCTATTATACCCTCAAAAAGTCAACTTTTTTGATACCCTGCAATTGGACAACTTGGACAACTTGGGAAACTTGATGAATCCAAAGTGGATGCTGTCGCAGGCAGCATGCTGGACAAGCTCTTTGACGTTTGAAGGATTGCATCCTAATTGCGATGGAAGGATGCCAATCTTTTTTCAAAATCGTTTCGGATATGATTCCAATAAGGCAATAGCTATCAAAAAAGTCCGAGCATCCTGCAAGCACCTTATTGAAAATCTGTGATACGTGCAACATACGTGGAATTGCCCTTTGCAAACATAGCATATGTGGAGAGGTGTGTCAAGCGGACTACGAGTTCCGGAGGTTTTTTGTGGTGGATTATCTTAGTTTATCCGCCAATGGATAAAAATGAACCTCAAACATGACTTAAAAAAGGCATATGATATTGATTATGAACTGGAAACAATCAAATCAACCCGAACAAAAGGGATATAAATAGCAACTATGTTCATATGTCACCTTCATATGGATTGTGATGGATTAAAAAAAGGCCCCAGAAATGGCATTCGACACTGCAGCAGCTTCACAGTTTTTTGGCTTCGCTTTTTGGCTCCAGCTTCTTCACTTGAATGTCCAATTCACTTTGACTTAAGGTCATAATCATATGGGGGGTTCCATAAATGGAGGTATCCCAAAATGAATGTTTTTTAATGGAAAATCATATTAAAATGGATGATTTTGGGGTACCCCCTTAAGCCTTAATCTACCCAGTATGTGATTTCACCCCCTGCATCCAGCATGGTGGACATGGTGCCCATCCATGGTCCGTTTCTGGGGGGTCTTGAAGCATATCTTCATATTTGGCTTTCCATAAATTTAAATGGGGGATCCCCAATAGCTGGATGGTTTTTTAATGGGAAAATCCTACTAACACGGATGAGAACTGGGGGTATCCCTATGACTTAAGAAACTCCCATATTGGGGCTGCTGGATTATCATGGATTCATCCGGTTTTCGGGCCTGCGGCTTGCATTCGGCCATGGAATAAACCAGGTGCAGGCCACGTTTTGCCATGGGACCTCACAAAGGGGGTTCCACGAAGGAGGCAGAAGCCAAATGGTTTCATACCTACAAAATCTACCGTAGTACCGCTAGTATTTTGAGATAGCCCATGGCTATGGAAAACGTCCTATTATAGTTGAGATGATGTACCTAAAAGAACATAATGTAATTTTCCATAATCCATAGCTATGTTAAATTACCGGAGGGTATACCGGTATACAGTAATTGAATGGCTGGATTTCGGGCAAAGCGGGTGAAGGCATATCAAGGTCGCCATCTCTTTTTGGCAAAGCGAGTTGGAATCAACTGACAGCCCAATCCATTTCTAGGAAAGATCATGTTGGTTTTGCGCGTGTACCCTTTGGTAAACATACAAAAAGCTATGGAAAGATCCACCCATCTTTAATAGGTAAATCAACTATAAATGGGCATGTTCAATAGCAAACTGTTAGTCATTACCAGAGGTATGTTTGGCCGTTCCCTATGTTCAAGTGCCAGACCAAGAGTTGGATGAAATTCCACACCTTGCTTCAGCTGCTCCAAAGGTTCAACGTGCACGCTGGGAACCATGGGGACATTTTGGGACTAGCGTCGGGTCTTGTAAAATAACGGAACCTCATAGGACTTCTGCAAATTTGGAGGTCACCAAATTCTCCAGAAATAGGATACTCTCCCGTACTCATATGTGGCAACGGAAAATCTTCCATTTATATAGTCCGATGATCTTCCCATAAATGAATGGATAGACAGATAGATGCCATAAGATTCCAGAAGATGCCGTAAGATGCCTATTTAGTTTGGGGATTTTCCAGCCATGTTTGAGTACCAGAGGCGATTCCAACGATTATTTTGCGTTAACCCGGTGACTAAGACCGGCTCAGGCGCAGCACTGCGATTTTCCAGCGGGGGCCTTGATATCAATGGGAGATCTCCAGGATCCGATTTCTTGGAGGTACGTGTTTACGTACCATATGTTTGGCCATATGAATTGTGGGGATATCCCCTGAAAAATAGGCTTGAACAATAGGCCTTATATATGGTAGGTACCTCCAATTTAGGTTCCTGGAATGGCCATTGATGATATATGTTGATCATCCCAGATTTGTAATTGAATGATCAATGATGTTTGATGATTAGTTTGGGTGTGTGATTATCAAATATCGTGGAGTTTGTGACAATCCACACGCTGGAACCCCCACCAACCAGTTTGGTGGAATGACAATTTATCCGCCGGCCCAGACGATTTTTCTGATTGGAGGGCAACTACTGTATCCAAGAATATCCAAAAGCAGTGTGCAGATGAACCAATATTTTTAGGGCTGAGCGAGATTTGTTTACAGTCACATGAAGGTGGAACATGGTTCAAGCATTGGAAGATGTGGCTATCCCAACGGTTATTTGAATAGATTGTCATGCCCCGAAAATCCAAGAAGTTTGAAGCGGCCACACCAAAATGAGAACAAAGGACTTTCTTTTTTTCACCAACATGACCGTCTTTTTCTGTAGGCCCGTTCCTTTCTCCGCAGGCTCGGCTCAGTCAACACTGCAGTCAAAGTTCCCCTACATCCTGTGTTCCGTTCGCCATGTTTTGATGTTTTGGCTGTCGCTCATCATAAGCCTGGTCGTGGTTGAGAACTGCCAGGCACAGCACCGCTGATACGCAAGCTTTAAATTGCATTCAACATCCAATTTCACATACCCTCTGGTAAATAAACATAGACCCTGAAATCATCATTTTTAAATGGAAACTAGTCTTCCAACCCCTATCTGCCAGGGTCTATGTTAATTTGCCAGAGGGTATAAATTGTTGCCTTTTTCCTGGTGTGTAAATCGATTTCTTTTTCTTACCTGCCACGTCATGCGCCAGAAAGGTGGTTGAAAATGGGTCTACCCATTTTCTGCAAATTCGTCCTGTTTCGACAAGTTTGTGTTGGCTCGCAGACATTCAAACTAACACTAACTTGGGATGCTACGCGATAAAATTGTGCAATTTCTATTGAATCTTGAAAGCCTCGGGTTTTGGTTGACTTTGGAAATATTTTGGTGGTCCATTTATTCCGCAATTCTGCCAAGTGGCATCAATTTGCAAGTGCCTGAACCTGAGAAATTTGTTGGAAAGCCATAGTTTCTTTTTTCGGACACATACCCTTTGATGAAGTGCTTACATCTATAGTTTACAACCACAACACATTCTTATGATATTATGGGAACTGATGTGCTTTTCCTTTGAACTATGTTCTCTTATGTTTGCCAGTTTGCACTGCTGGTTGGCTCCGGTCTAATCAAAAGGAACAAAGGGCCAAGAAAAGGGAAGCAAGTGAAGAAAATGAGAGAGGAAAGTCGAAGGGAAAAGAGAAGCAATGGCCAGAGAAGAAAGGAGGGAAAAAAGAGGAAAGGAAATGCCAAAAAGAAAAAATGATAAGTCAAGACAATCAAGAGGCCAAAAAAATAAAGAAGAAAGCAAAGAGGTCATGCTTGGGCGCACGTTTGAGGCAAAGCCTGGACCCTGGGACACAGCCGCCACAGGACAGCTGGCCTTGGTTGCACTGCGAGTCCAAGCTAGGTCAAAGAAAAGGAAAGACAGAAGTCTGGAATAGTCTGGATGTCTTCGCTCTTCTTTTTCTCTTATCTTTTTCTTCCTCTCCTTGGCTACTCTTCTTCATGCTACTTCCTTTTCATCCTTTGTGAGATTGCACCTCTCGTTTCGCGAGATAAAACATACTGACCCTGCGCTCCTAGAAAATGCGCATAAAAGGAACCCACTTTGCTCACCGGCTTGCAAGCGCCTGGGCCCTTGAAAAGGACAACAGGGAGAACGATAATCGCAACAACTGAACACGTCCTTTGGTCTTTCAGAGGCACTCCGCCCTTCCCAGACCTTTTTTCTCCATGACATCTGCGCAGTAAATCTAGCCTGACTACCCCATGTACCTGCCATGAAATCGGTGTGCAAAGGACAACTCAGCTACAACAGAAATTGCTGCAAGCAGACCGCAACTGAGAGATGGGAGGCCAAAAAAAACACCAAGCATGCAGCTGAGAAATTCAAGCTCCGAAACGTTACTTGTGACTTCTTAGGTGGTTTTCTTGTGGCAAAAAAATGACCGCGCACTGTCGGCGACCAGTAGGTGCCAAAGAACAAACGCTGCCCACATCCGCCGCCTGACAAGTTCGAGTGGAAATTTGCTGCCAAATGCCACGTCAAACAGCAAAAACACGCATTGTAAGTTTCAGCTGCAAAATGCTACGTAAATCAGCACTGAGGGGTGCTCCAAAATGCTAGAATCTAGAAGAACTGTCTCTGAAAATGATTGAAATTCTGCACAGATCATACAAATATATACAAATTCATTGATTTGCTGCAAATACCTTGCAAGCAAGAGACTTCAGCTCAAAATTGCTGGAAACTTGTGCAAGTATTGTGAGAGATTTCAACGCACAAGATCGCAAATACCGCGCAAAGTCCGGATGCTTGTTCCAAATTGCCACACTTCTGGAAAGAAAATGGGATTCAAGATCCACTTGCAAAAAAAACCTGCCCATTAAGTGTTTACTTTTCGCAAAAAAAAAATGTTACAAAAACGGTGCCAGTTGATGACCATCCCATCACTGGTTTCGCTGGTCGGTCACAGCCGCAGGTGGAATACGTGAAGAGCAGATATGTGCCTCGGTGATTTCACTGATTTCTGGCAGGGAATGATAAGATACGCTCTGCTTTGGCGATACGGCGATACCCCTTGATTTCCCATATTGTTTCCAACTCAAATTGGGTGTCCCGTCTCAGTGGCATGCATGTGCGATTTCATTGGCATTAATATCTCTTACCCTTCAATTGCTGCTAAGTTGGGCGGTCAGTTTCAGAGGATGCCTTCACACACAGAAGCTTTTACACTGAACTGCTTTGACACATAGACACTTTTACACTTTACACGCAGAACTTTTCACACAGACAAGCTTTTACGCAGAAACGCTTTTACACGGAAACGCTTGTCCTTCAGAGGTGTTTTTATGCACGGACGCCTTGACACACAGAAGCTTTTTACACAGAAAAGCTTTTACACAGAGCAGCCTTTACACAGGTGGCTTTTACACAAAAACGCTATAGACACAGAAACCTGTACACAGAGCAGCTTTTATACAGACCCGTTTTCCACACAGAAACTTTACACAGAGCAGCGTTTACACAAAGTTTTTACACGAGGAGCTTTTAAGCACAGACATTCTCTTTACACACACGAGCTTTTACACAGAGAAGCTTTTTATCCAGAAATGCTGTTAACGCGGAGATCAGTTTACACACAGACGCCTTTACACACAGAAGCTTTTAGTAAAAGAGGCCTTTGCTCAGAGCAGCTTTTACACATCGAAGCTTTTACGCCTTTGCACACAGATGCTTTTACATAAGGAGGTTTCACATACAGACGCTCTTACAGAAGAGGTTTTTCCTTGCAGAGAAGCTTCTACACACAGACTCAGACGCCTTTACATTTTTCAGAGGGAAGCTTTTCCACAGAGAGGCTTTTACACAGAGAAGCCTTTCACAGAGCAGTTTTTGCACATAGGCAATCTTGCAGGCAGAATCTTTGACACACCGAAGCTCTTGCACAGAGAAGCCGTTTCACAGAGCAGCTTTTACACACAGACGCCTTGACGCAGAGCAGCTTTAGAGCCAGAAGGTTTTACACACAAACGCTTGTACACACAGAAGCTGTTGCACTGATAAGCCGTTACACAGAGCAGCCTTTACACACAGATGCTTGTACACACGGAAGCTTTTGCACACAGAATCTCTTTCACTGAGAAGCCTTTGCACAGGGCAGTTTTGCCCCACAGATGCTTTTACACACAGAAACAGAAGCTTTGACACAAAGAAGCCCTTACACGGAGCAGCTTTTACACACAGAAGTTTTTGCACAGAGAAGCTTTTACACAGAAAAGTGCTTACACAGAAAAGCTTTGCACAGAGAGATGCTTTTGCACACAGACTCCTTTAGACCGGGCAGCTTTTACACATAGATGGCTTTTCACAGAGAAGCCATTACACACAGCAGCTTTTACACACAGACGCTGTTACGCACAGAAGCTTTTACACACAAGCATTTTCCCGCAGAAGCTTTTACTACACAGAGAAGCCTTTACACGAACTTTTTCCACAGAAAATCTTTTATACAGAAACGCTTTTACCTACAGACATGCTCTTATGCACAGGTGCCTTTACACACAGGCGCCTTTACACACAGAAGCTTTCACACAGAGAAGCCTTGAAACACAGCATCTTCTACACAGACGCAATTATACACAGAAACTTTTACACACGATGCTTTTACACATTTCTTTTAGGCACGGTATTTCTTACACAGAGAAGCCATTACACAGAGCAGCTTTTACACGCAGACGCTTTGACCGTCAGACGCCTTTACACAGAGCAGCTTTTGGCAGAAGGTTCTGCACACGGATGCCTTTGCACACAGGAGCTGTTACACACAAGCTTCTACACACACTCACACACAAGCTTTACATAGAGAAGCTTTTACACAGAGCAGAGAAGCCGGTACATCGAGCATCTTTTACACGCTTGGAAAAGCAGTTTTACTTCTTCTTTTGACGTTCGGAGCTCGCTTCGTGTGAAATGGTTGCGCCGTGCCCCAAAAAAACGCAGTTCACCACGCATGTGGATGTCCGACGCACACGATCTCCACAGAAGGTCACATTGACATTTCCATGGGCGCGGCCTGGCCGGCCCCGCCACCAGAGAGAAACATAGAAAGGTCATCATTGGAGACCAATAGAAGTTGGATAGAACGTAGATGTTTTGTTGAAAATATTTGTAGACCGATTGCGGGAAGATTGTAGGTGTTGTGTAAATAAAATGTTTGTAGGTACATAGAGGATCACCCACAAGCCAACTCCTTAAATTACGTTGTAGATGTCTGGTAGGAGCTCACAGAAGTTGAGCATGATGAAGAAGATTTTGTAGATAAAGTGCACGTATAGATGATGTTAGGTTGAAATTGGCAGCAATTCCTTGGGCATAACCCTTCGCAGGAGCTTCCGGGAAAACGTTCCTTTAGGGCAATTTTTTGAGTGAAAAACACTTCTCGGATTTCATGTTTCAAAAGAAATGCGCGTTTCATCGTGTTTCACCACGCTTCACCAGCTGTTGGAACCTCCCAATGTTTTGAGCAAGTTGTTTTCTAGTTTTCATTGCATTTTCCACGTTGGGAAAAGGCATGTGATTTCAAATATGTTGTTTCATGTGCCAGATCAGATGTCAGATAGGATGTGAAATTTTATGTCAGCTGGTAGCATTATTAGAATATGTGTCAACAAAATTGATTTTTGTCACTGTGGTGATCTGTCACGCTGGTGATGACTGAGAGTAAGTAATTTCTAATGATTTCCTTCGGCATTGCGTGCTTGAAGAGTGCCTTACACGCCTTTTGAAAATGGTCTTGAACGCAAAAATGCTTCTTTGGAACTAAGCATTGGTGGACCCCTAGCAAGCCCCTTTGCAAGCAAATCAGCCTCACTTGCCACGACCTGCACTGCCCCAGCTCTAGCAGCCCCAGGATCAGCGTTTCCCAAGTGGCCAATTCCAATATGTTCACTCTTTGGACTGGGAAGTATACAGCTGGGGGTTCAAGATGCTTCAAACCTTTGTTGCTTTCAATCGTTATTTGGGGCCATATTCTCACTTTAGAACCGATTGAAGTGTCGAAACTTGCTTTTAGCGGATCGATGACCCACGCAGGTAAGATGTTCAGTGTATGCCCCACCTGCCAGGCATGCCTTCCTGACTCACCTGACCAGAACCACGATCAAACCCAGCTGGAAATTTTGGCGCAGGTAGCGCTGTACTTGATGAGCCCAATGACTGTTAAAGCTTCAAACAAGACAAATGTAAATATCATTCTGCCCCCACTAGCGAAAATGAATGAAAATGCGTCTGACATAGAGGCTGTCAAAATGCCTGAGTTGCTTGGGATGACCTGTGGCAAGGATGTAGAGGATTTTCCCAACGCATGCAGCGGCGTGGTCCCAGTCCAGGTTACATTGTTGAATCCATCGATGTTACCTGTAGTTAAAAAGAAAGGTATAGAATTGAACGACATCCCGGATGGCAATGAGTTCATCCAGCGTGAATCCAAGACATATGGCATGGGCATGTACTTCTACAGCACCTATGAGGAGAAGACTGGAAAGGTCCGTGAAGTGATTGATTTGCGGTTCGCGCTGGGGGGTGATGACCTCTGCTCAGCAGAAGTCCGACTCACTTCCGGCGAGTGTTTCGGCATGAAGGTGGGTGGCAAGCCGCGGGCCCCGGCCGATCCACCGAAGCCACCGGCGTTGAAAGATGTGAGGCCGGAACTGCCCCAACTCCACGCAAAACGAGTCCCTGGTTTGGGGGCAGGACCTATTATTTTGATTGTGGTGCTGCTGCTGGTTCTGCTAGTGGTGGCGGCTTTCTTTTCGCGGCGCCAGGGGCTGATACAGGAAGAACGGGCTCTGCGCGGCGCACAGGAAGTTGAACTCAATTGAGAAGACGCCAATGAATTCTTTTAAGAATATCCACGAAATCATTTGCCGCACCATGACTTGAATGATGAAAGTCCACACCAACCTAGACAAAAAAAACTGTCGTGGGACTTGGAATTTCACCGGCATCAGCCACTGACGCTTGCTTCAGCTGCTCAAAAGGTTCAAAGCGCACGCTTGGAACCATGACTGGGGCATTTTGGGACAGCTCCCCTGCAATTTGGCACGCATACCACCAAAGATCTTTGGCCTAACATTGAGTCTTCCAAGCGTTTCAGGTTGAACTACACCGGGGATCACCTTGAGGATTTCCCAGCCTGTCGGCCTGTCGTGTTTAATTTCCAGGTATTCCTGCTGAGACCCCAGGCGCTCCAGCAGAGGAGGCCGTGAAGGCCTTGGACAACCTGCCGGTGAAAAAAGCAGCCTCCGTAAGTTGATGATTTAGGGTTGATGGATGATTTATAGTAAGGGAGGCGAAATATATATATATATAGAGAGAGAGAGAGATATATATATATATATAGATATTATATAGATATTATTTAGATATATAGATATTTTATAGATATTTTTTGGATATTATATTGATATTTTAGATATAGATGTATATAAATATTTATATATATATATATATCCATATTCGGGGATTGTCACAACCCCTTTAAAAACGATCGGGAAAGACAAAGTGGCAATTGCTTTTTCCTGGAAGAAGGTAACAAATGACTTGCGAGAGGTTTGAAGCCATGTCCGTTTTCCCCATGTCTTGTCAATCACGGCGAACAAAAGTTGGCAATAATGCTTGGGCATTGCTTGGGTCTGAATTGCCCGACCACAAGCCCGTAATGGATCGTTTATTTTTGCAAAATTTTCGGGGCCCGTGCAAAATGCTCCCCAGTGATTGATTTGAGGGCGAGAGGAATTCGTTTATTCCATCGTTTTCGCGCGGTTTTTCTGTAAGACTTGAACCACACGTACTTAAGCATTTTCAGCGGGACTACATTGATTCAAATATTGGCCTCAGTCAGGTAGCTACTGTGCCCGCGGCTGCTTTGCGAGAGGAATTGGCTCACTAGATGTGAGAATCGGGGTTTCCCACCTGAATCAAATTCTGCGCCCAGCTCGTCTCGAGTTTGCGACCTAGACTATTTGTTTTGCCGTTGTGATATTGCTTGTATTTAGAAGATTGACCCAATGCTTGGCATGTCTACTTGAATTGGCCGGCACTGGGATCAGCTGGAGGCAGACGTCCTAAGTGCCGTTTTTGATCAGACAATTTGTCGGGGCTCAGCGAGCGAGAATATTTTTACAGTCACATGAGGGTAGAACATGGTAGCAAGGCCTGTCGCAACAATGTTTGATTTTGCTCGTGGAAGATATTTAGTGATGACCACTCTCGTTCCAGCGCTGTTTCTGCGGGCCCTGACACCTTGCCCAATGCGTTGCGCTGGGATGCACTGGGGGAAGTATACTTGGATTCCCCTGTAGCAACTAACAAGGCCCAGGGAAAAATTCTTAGGCCAACCCAAATGTAATTTTTTGGCGGCGCGGGGTTCCCTCAACAAGGAACTCGGCAGCTTCAAACATTCAAAGCTGGGAGAAAAGTGTTCAAAGGCGTCGCATCTCAACGGCGATGCTTAGCGGATCGTCACTGTTTGAAGCGTCTGGGCAGAAAAATGGCTGCACCGGCTTGACGCCCACTACAGAACTGGAACTTTCAAAGCCCAAGAAAAGACGACATCAAAAGCGAACGTGCTTGAAAGATTTGAAAGGTGTGAAAACTATTGCCAAGCTGCCAGGAGTGTTCAAACACTAAATATTCAAAAAGTCACAAGCCCGCCCCAATCGAAAGTGAGCCATTGAGGTTGGGACAGAAAGAATGCGTCTCTGATTTCCTTCGGGTTCTACGCCCTAGTACCCTCCGTGCTTTCAACCCAAGGGGAACAGGCACAGCTGAATGCCCCCGAACATTTTCAAGACCCTGCTTTCAATCATGGACCTCCTTTATTTACTGGCTAGTTGATAGACAAAGGGACATCAGAACATTGGACCGAACGCAAAAACAGCCAATGTTCATACTGGAAGTAGCGTTGCCCATGCTAGCTCGATGTGTAAGCCAATGGCGGTGCATGGCGAAAGTAGCTAGCAGCGCCGAGCTTAACCCAAGCGCTGCAGCAGAATTTTTCCAATTTCTGCAATGCTCCTTGCGCTTGGAAGCAGCGGAGAAGCTTCAGCATGACATGCTGCCAGAGGATCAGGAGCTTGTCCGGGAAGGGACAAGGTGGGAGAAGTGAAGCCGGAGAAAGGATGTCAATTGGGCGGTAAATCAATCATCAAGAATCTGCCCTCCGCATTAAGATTGACCCAACTTCGAAAAGAGGTTGCAGCTAAGTATGCCCTGCCCTTTGGATCCAACCTTCGCTGTCTACTTGTGATCTGAAAATCCAATATTAGCTCATGAGCTGGTATCCTGGAAGGAGTGGCCAATGGTTACTATTGCAAGGATTGCCGCTCTTGGGTCTGGGATGATACATGGGATCCAAATCTTTCCAAGCCCCGGTGTCACCACGCGCCCGGGAACCGTCAGATAGACCACAACTGTCCAGCACTGGCTGCCCGCAAGTCCCCCAGCTTGCGATACGAGCATCCACAGTGCTTGGCATTATATCTTCTTCATCTCCCAACGACCTATTGCACATATCCTTCAGTAGGCGGCAATCACTTGGGTGCGGGCCGCAGATAGCATGTGGCAAATAGCCCAAATAATTTGGCTGTGTTTACATCCGTGTATTTTTAACCATGAAGGACCATGATGCATGTTGGAAGCCAGATGCTAATGATATCCTATTTGCCGCTTCCCCACCTAGTTATTTATCGAACCAGCCTACAGGAGGCCCTCACCATGTGGCCCACCTTCAAGCTCTGGGCGAGCCGCAACCTGAAGCGGGAGAAATGGGTCCCCTTCCACACAGCTCTGTCGCCGCATGAGCTGTTTGCAGTGGAGAAAATCCATCACAACCAGGAGATTCGCCATGATGTTCATGATGATAATCATATTGTCGGTGATGACAGTGACGATGGCGCTAGTAAGCTAGTAGTGATGATGGTGGTGTGGTGATGAAAAAGAATGGGATGATGGTGGTGGTGACGATGATGACCTTTTTGATGATTCTGCAAGGCAATGATGGTGGTGGTCATGATGCTGCTGATGATGATGATGACGATGATGACGATGCTGACACTTGTGATGATGATGATGATGAGGAGGAGGAGGAGGAGGCAGAGAGGAGGAAGAAGAAGAAGATCATGGTTTTGGTCATGCTCATGAAGAAGATGATGATAACGATAATGGTGATGACGGCTACGATGCGAATGAAACTGACGACGTAGAGGAAGAAGAAGATTATGATGAAGATTGTTACGATGAGATTGAACATGCTGACGTAGAAGAAGACAAAAAAAATAAAGTGAAAGAGAAAAAGAAGAATGTGATGATGAGGAGGAGGATGGCGGCGATTTTGAGACTTCACATGAGAATGAGGACTATGATCGCAATCATGACAGGAAGGAGGTGCTGATGATGATGGCGATGACGACGCTGATGATGATGGTGATGATGATGATGGTGGTGGTGGTGGTGATGGTGATGGTGATGGTGGTGGTGATGGTGGTGATGATGATGATGATGATGGTGGTGGTGGTGGTGGTCATGGTGATGGTGATGGCGATGGCGGTGGTGATGGCGGTGGCGGTGGTGATGGCGGTGGTGATGGTGGTGGTGATGGTGATGGTGGTGGTGATGATGATGGTGGTGATGGTGATGGCGATGGCGATGGCGATCGCGATCGCGATCGCGATCGCGGTGGTGATGGTGATGGTGATGGTGGTGGTGATGATGATGATGATGGTGGTGGTGGTGGTGATGTTGATGATGACAATGATGGCAATGATGACAATGATGACAATGATGATTTGCTGGCGGATCTCTGGTTGTGGAGAGTTTGGGTGGTTTTTTTCTTTCTTGTTAGACATGGCGAGTTGCACTGCAAATGTTCCAGTTAATGATTGGTCAGGCCGCGAGCAGCGGCCTGCACTCTGGGGCCTGCCAGATCCGAACATTCTCACCAGCTTGCAGACTCGGGCCACACAAGATTTGCCGGAATAGACTGCTAGACAGAATGCCAAGCAAAAAATCGGAATATATGCCAGATGGGACGCCGGAAAATATTTCAGATATAATGTCGGCTAAAATGTCAAACAAATTGCAAGATAAAAAGGTCGTAATGTATGTGATCATGCATGTCGAAGAGAATGCCAGAACAGATGTCAAACAGAATGCCAGACAAATATCAGCGCATTTGCCAGGTAGGACGTGAGAAGATTTGTCAGATACAATGTCAAAGTACCAAATCAAACGGCAGAATCTGCTTGTCGCGCGAAGCCACAGTATATGCCAGATAAATGTGAGAATATACATCAGATCGACCGTCCGTTAGAATGTTAGAATATATGTCAAAATGAATTGCTGGAAGAATGCCAGAAGTTATGGCAGTTAAATGTCAGAATATATTTCGGAGCCTATGCCTGATAAAACACGCGAGATAAAATGCCAAAGAATCTGTCAGGTGAATGCCAGGTAAAAATTCAAAATATGTTTTGACTCAAAACATGCCGGGTCAAATGCAAAAAAAATATGTCTGAGTCTGAGTTCGTGTCAGATAAAATGTCAGAAAATGTGCCTGGTAACGTGTCAACCCATGTCACCTAGAATGTATTTGAATATGCTTGATAAAACTTCAAACAAATTGTCACGTGGCCAGGATCATGCGAAGTATAGGGAATCTGCGTGATTACCTGAAATCTTTTTCACTGCAAGAACTCATCATGATGACCCTTCGTCCTTCATCCGTGGGGTAATTATTCCAGATCTGAAGTCCGTTCCCACGGCTGGACCCAGCCACGGTCACCATTTAGTCTCTTTTTTCAGGACTTGAGCTGGACCCCATTCCAGCGATATTTGGCGATGATCATCTTTCGCGCGCACTGCCAGAAACATGTCTTTTCTGAAGCCCAGCTGCCTTATCTGCAAACGCCCGACTTTTGGGCTGCGCCGAAGAAATACTTTGAGGATGATGGCCCCATCACTCAATCCATGTAACTTGGAGGATCGATGAGATGGCGCGTGGGATGACAACGTGTTTGCGCTTGTCGGGTGATGAGTTTCAAACAGTGGAAAACACATGGCACTGCAAAATAAAACGGTTGATTTCCAGACGTTTTTTTCACTGGCAGCCCCGCTACCAATTCATGCGCAGCATTCTTTGCCAACACGGTTCGGCTCACACCTCATGAACCAACGAAGGGCCAATAACGGACCATCCAGCTTAGTTACCATTGTACACTAAGCAACTTTGCGAATATTTGATTGAGTATTGGATCTATTCATTCTGGGGTCTTTGGTTGGAAGATGTCCGAAGTCTTTGATTGTAAGACGGATGGCATTTGCAGTCATTGGGACGCATGCTTGAAAATTCTCTTCCAGCCTTGTCAGAACAAGGTTTCAGCTTGCTTCAACGAAAGCGACCGACCAGCCACAGGTTGCGGTATCGCCGTGAGACGCGCTCGCCATTGCAGACCTCCGCCTTTCGCTTGATCCCGAAGCGCCTGCGAACAGACAACGACGAGAATTTAGCTGTCAGCGTGGCGCGGCGCAGCCAGCTACTGATTGACATTGCCAATGAAGTCTGGCCTCTACTTCTGGATGTCCATCTTCCAAGTGCCCAGAAATTTGAAGCCATTTCAAGCAGCCTGGTTGGGTGAGCTGGGGGCGATGAGGGTCTTTAGATTTTAATAAAGGTGCCGCCTTCCTTCCTTCTTCTTCCTTTCCTTCCTTTCCTTCCTTCCTGATGCAGTTGGAGACGACGCCTGGACCCCAACATATGCCATGTGGAATCTCAGAAAGATGCCTGAATAGATGCCAGAATAAATATATCAGAAAAAACTTCTCATATATATGTATATATATATATATATTCTAAATTTCAACTCATGTCAGATAGACTGCCACAATGTCACACGGCATGAATCGGCATGCCAGAAATTATGTCAGATGGAATGCCTTAGACAGAATGCCAGCTAAAATAACAGGAAAAAGGCTAGATATTTAAAATGTCAGATAGACTGCAAGATAAAATGTCCGATAGAATGCCGGAAACTATGTCAAATAAAATGCCATACAGAATGATAGAATGTCAAAAAATGCGCCAGATAAAATGTCAGATAGAATGCCAGATAGAATTTCGGAAAAAATGCCAGAAAAAAATGTCAGATAGAATGCCATAGGATGCCAGAGAATGTCAGAAAATATGCCCGATTAAATCTCAGATAGAATTCCAGAGGATGCCAGAAAAGATTTCAGATAGAATGTCAGAAAATATGTCAGGTCAAATGTCACATAGAATGCCAGTGGGCGTCGGTCACTCGAAGGAAATATTTTTTTCGAACGTTGAGAACCCGGGTCGGGATCACACAGCGTTTGGGCTGTTCGAGGTTGGAGGAGCTGTGAGGATGGGAGCGCTCCAAGAAATAGATCATCACATACGATTCACAAAGTCTTTTGGGAACTGTTCCTTCACAGTCTCCTGTTTTGAAAATTTGGTGGCTGAGATGGCTTGAACACCTGAGCTGCCACTGGTGCCAAGGAGCCATTCAAACTGGCCATGGTTTTGGTCAAACTTGGGCCAAGATGTTGATGGTTTCCATGGACATCGCTTACCCAGAGGCAGCTACAGGGGTCTGGGGGATGGCTGACAGCCTCGGGCTGGATGATACAATTAGATATGATCAGCCAAAGGTTGACCTGAGTTGAAATAAGCAGGGTTGCTCCGCTGGCGTCGAATTGTAAGGATATCACGTCGCTTCTGTTGAAGGGATCCGAAGATTCAAAGCACGAACTTAAGCTACCTGTTAGGTTGATGTGTGGGCAGACTTGACTGATGAATCCTTTTCACTGATTTGGGGGGATGTGTTGGACCCACACTGGATTTGTAGCTCGGGGGCCGCATAAGCAATCAAAAAGAAATTTGAATCTCACCGGCAAGAGACCCCAAACAGTGTGGGGGGTAGGAAGTCAATGTACCAGGTAAAAGCAACAGTAGGTATGGAACGGTAGCAGCGCAGGGTAGACATTTTCGGAACTGCAGCAGCAGGAATTTGTTTTGGCACAAGAAGCAAGGCCATGTCTACTCATCAGGACCTCATACCAGAACCGCATAGCAGGACATTTAAGAGAATTGCAAAAGATCATCCAGGAAAGACTTTCTATATAGATCTATACAGGGGATCTCACAAGATCTTCGTACAAGAATCTCCTATGAACACCCCAGAAGCACCTTCAGACAAGCAGCAGCGCAGTGCATTTGCAAGATCTTAATGCAAGGACCTCTTGGGGATGATGTCAGCCAGATCTCCATAAGATCTTCTCACAAGGACCTGTACAAGATCGTGCAAGGACCTCTCAGAGGATTCACCAGGATCTCTGCAAGAGCTTCCCGCAAGAAATTGTACAAGGGACCAAGATCTTCATGCCGGGACCTTGAAGAGAATCCCACGCGGTCGTCATAAAAGAACTTGCTGCTGCTGGAGAGGATCTGACAAGATCTTGGTACAAGAGCCTTTCAAGAGCATCCCAGAAGAGCTTTCATAGAAGCACCTCTAATACGGAATCTGCAAGATCTTCATGCAAGGACCTCTAAAGAGGATCTTACCAGGATCTCCACAAGTTGTTCTGTGAAGGAGCTGTACAGAATCATGCAAGGACAAGTTAGAGAGGACTGCACCAGGATCTACACAAGATCTTCACAGAACGACTTGCGCAAGATCATACAAGGACATCTCGGGACCTATTGGGGGATCTCGGCAGGATCTCCACAAAATCTTCTCACAAGGACAATGGACCTCTTAACAGGATTTAACCAGGATCTTCATCACATCTTCGCACAAGGACCTCTACAAAACTTTGGTCAAGATCTTCATGTATTGCGGACCGCGAAAACTGCACCATCAAACTCGCGCAAGACCGTCATGGAAAGACCAGCTGTCATAAGATCTCCTTACCAGAATCTAAGAGAATCAGCTCAATTCAGCATAATTCAGCATGGCGGGGTAATTTTTGCATCGCGCCACGGCGAGAGCGAACCGACACGCGCAAAGTGCCAAGAGGGTTGCACGAGCGATATCCAAATTCGCACTGCGCCACAGCGAGAGCGAGGGTTGCACTAGCACATATTTGATTTTCATAAAACACGCGTGCATCACGAAAAATGAACATTGAAAATGTAAAAAATGACGTTTTGCCTGGGTCCCAACCACTTTTGGTCGACGTCTACAAAGTAGCGCGCCTGCCACACTGAATGATCAGCATGTCCCCCTTTCAAGATGCGCCTGCCACGAAACATGACTTTCAATTTTGACCCACGCCTGCCAATGTTTTAGCAACGTGCAGAAACTGCACCTGTCATGCCAAACATCGTGTGATATTTAAAAATGTCCCGCGAGTGCCACGCCTGCCACACGAAATGGACATAGCTCAAAAAATGCAAAAAACGAGCAGGGCGCGCTAGTAAAACAACACCTTCGACAGAGACAAAACTTAGCCGCGCACTTTATGCAAGCCTGCGCAGTCGAAATGCACATTGACATCTGACAATAGAACTTTTATAAAAGAATTTCCAATGAAAAGGCCCCAGGCCAAAACCGCGAGCGCTCATCTTGTGCGAGCTTGCGCAGTCACATGGACATCTCACAAGGGAACTTTTATGCGAGACTGTACAGCAAAAAAGCCAGAGGCCAGATGGAGCACCCTGATCCAACCCCAGCCTTTAACACCTACCGTAAGAACCCCTTGAGTGTGGACAACCTGTTTGGGGAATAATCTAAAAATAAACTTGGAAGAAGACCGGGTAGGAAGGCTGTCAATGCACAAAGGAAGGAAGGAAGGAAGGAAGAAAGAAAGGATGGAAGGGAGGAGGGAGGGAGGGAGGGAGGAAGGACGTGAAGGAAGGAAGGAAGGAAGGAAGGAAGGAAGAAAGGAAGGATGGATGGATGGATGGATGGATGGAAGGAAGGAAGGAAGGGGGGAGAACGTGAAGGAATGAAGGATGGATGGAAGGATGGCTTTGGCTTCTCGGCTTCTTGGCTTTTGACTTTTGTTGCGTTTGGCTTTTTGGCTTTTTGCCTTTCTGGTTTCTTTGCATTGTGCTGCAACTATTGTGAAGACACAGAGTACCACGAGTACCACATCAAGTAGACAGGATAGAAGGACAATAACAATGTTTCAAAGAAAGCGGAATCCAACAATAGAAATTTGTAGGAAATCTTTGAAAACATCCAATGAACCTATTTACACCCAAGACGGTGGTGCTTCAGCCTACAGAATGAATCACAAGGAGCATGTTCTGCATTAGATGCACGCTGAGTATCATATTCAAACTACGGCGTTACATGTGAGAACAGGTCTCGTTCTGCTTTGCATCCTCCGCCCCAATCCCCTTCCTTTTTTATGTAATAAGTAAGCTGAACCACAGCTGCTTTGTCACAGATTCACTTCACCAGTGTCCCACAAGAGGTAAAATATTTCAACATTTATCCAACATATCTGGATCTGGATTTTGACTTCCAACCCCCGTTCCGAAAGCAAGCCCACGGAGGTCCAAGCCGGTAAACGTAGAGCTATCTTCGCCATATGTTCAATTGTGATACATATGCTGCTGCTTTGCCAGGAACTAAAGTTGTGTTTCTTCTCTCTCTCTCCCTTTTTCTCCCTCTTTTGTCAGCCCATTTTCTCTCTCCTTTTTGTCAGCCCATTTACCTAAGTGATGCCAAGGTTACCGCAGGCAACCCACCCTCAGGCCAAGCTGTTGACGGAGCACTGCGACGTGGGCATTGGCGCCAAACCCGGGCTGCTGCGCCTTGGCGGCAGCGGCGACCGCACAGGCTTGCAGCAGGTGACAGAAGCGCTAAATGGGGCGCAGCTGGATTCTGCCAGGCCAGGTTCGGGTAGGGTGTTACTTAGTTGTGGTAGCGCAGCCCCCGAAACTAGGCGATTTCTATATGAAATTGTTTTTCCAACCTCCAATTTGGCAGGGCTGGTTACGGGGGCCTTTTCTCTGATGATGGATCTCACGTATGATATTTCTTCCAAAAGTTGGTTGAAACCACCAGCAACCACAAGATGAAATGATAGTAACAGTTGTAAGGGCCTCGAAGTAGCAAGCGCGATCAATCACATATATTTCAACAGAGCTTGAGGTCAGGTTTCGGATTTTTGGAGAAGGTGCGAGGGCAAGACCATCCTTGGTCAGAAGATGCTGGCCAGACATTGGGCCCAACATTTTGGGGGTACACTTCCACCAAGTTCCTTTCCAAATGTTTCCACGGCTCATTGTATCTTTTTTCGGTTTTTTTCTACTGGCTTGGCATCAGTCACATTCTGAAGGATTTAGGATAAAGAGGAATATGTCACTGCGGAATCAGGATGGACCTGGGGACCTGGGCTGGCTGGCTGGTATTCAGTTGCTTTCCATCATCTTCAAATTTCTGATTTGGAACCTTTGACCGTATCCCTGCGATAGGCCGGCTAGAACCCCATTAAATCCACGCATCATCATGAGTTGGCAGCTGGCATGTGCAACACCAAGTGTTCATGATGGTTTTCCCTTGCGTTTTCTATTCTATGTCGCTTTCGCCGAAAGTTTGGCGTCATCAGCCCAAGTCTTGAAATTTATGTTCTAGTCAGCCCCCCACATTTGCCTCCAGATCAGCGCTTTTGCACCAACAAGTAATTCATTCCCATGTCAAGCAAGAGAAGATTGCAATAATGTTGATGAATTTTGGCCGGTGATGTGCCAATTTTGTCGGCAACAACGCCAGGCATTTCTGGCGCTTCCTGGCAAACGTGGAGTCTGTGGCCCAGAGCACCTTTGATCACTTGCCGCTGATCCAACGGCACTTGGACACGGAACGCTTGAGCCCTGCCACAGTGCAGGCGCACTGGGATAAACTGGGAAGATCTATAGCACGTATTTGGGATTATGGGGCTTCACCGACCGCAGGCACCCACAATTTCCTTGGATCGCGGCGGCCCGATCCACAATATGTGACCCAAAGGTGGCTCATGCATTTTGATTGTGTTGTAATTTCCGTCACCTTTGTCATGTGAAATCCCACCTTATGTGGTTTCAAAAGGACTAGTATCAACTTGCTTACCGTGGTAGGTGCAACTCTGTGAGTGGCGTCAATTCCTGGACTTTTTGGAGAAGCAGGCTAGACGCTGAGCCAGCATTGGTAGGACCACCCCACTTGGTTGGATAGAAACTTTTTGATTGGGAAGGGAAATGAAAAGTCCTTCAACCGTAGCTATCCGCCGTATTAGCGGCCTACCCGGTCTTCAGCAAACGAGAAACATATGGTATCGGAAGGGTTTCGTTGTCCCAAACAAACACGCTACCAAGAGGTGGGTTGGTCGTTCAAGGGTCGCTTGCAGCCTGCCGAGGCATCCTCCCAGAAGCAACCCACCATCATCTCTTCGTGTTGGTGTATACCGGCACATCACGGAAAGAATTCCAAACAGGAATGACCGCAACCAGTCTACCAAGAACCCCCTTAAGTTTCCTTACAATGGTGACGTTTACCTTTGGCTGCCACGTCATTTTGGGAAATCAAATTTTCGAGCGTATTTTTAAACCGAAAAAATAAAACTTGCAGCGACCTCAGGACTGGAATTGCTGCAAGTGCCTTCCAGCATCACCTTTCTGGACGATGACGCCGGAACCCCGGAGATCTCGGACGAGGAGGTACCCGAGACCGAGGTTTCGGATGATCCCACGTCGGACGCCATCATCCACCCGGCAAAAGCCAGGAGGCGGTCGACCTCCGAATCCATGGCTTCGGCCAGCGCCTTGACGTTGGTGCTTTCAATTGATGTTTTGGTGGTTTTTGAAGACCTGAAAGATGGAGAACCCGTCGGGCACACGTCATTTCACCGTTTGAACTGCAATGGTTATCCAAAAGCATTTGGAGGCTTCAAGCGGTGGGCACAGCCCATTTGAAACACGCCTGGGATGGCTTGAAAATTTTAACAGCAACAACTCGCCATAATTACCCGTTTTAAATTGTGGATCCCTGAGTTAAAAAGCATGCCCAGTGGATGTTTTCCTTGATCAGGGAGCGGAACCACCAAAACGACCGACCAGGTGCCGCCTATTTGACACGAGCTTCTGAAGTGCTGGGACATGCGAAGGTCCAACACGAGGAACTCCTTTTGAAGATCGAAATTTGCGCTGAAGAACTTCGAGAGTACCTGGCTGGGTAAGTCCGCCGTACGGGGACCCAAAGAACTTTTTGAATTGAATTGGCTCAGACAACAACGACCAATGCACTTTTTGTGCTGGCGTCAGTGTTTCTTGAACTGCTCATCCCTGCTTGGAGTGGCCCATCTCAAAGGGCAACTGCGTTTCTATCGAAAGCATGACAGAAGATTTTTAAGGGGTGGGCGGTTCAGCCACCAGGTATGACCTACGATGGGACACTGCAAAGCAGAAATTCTTGAATTTGGCGCGCCTGGAGCAGCAACTGCAATATGACATTTGGGAGGCCAAGATCAAGGTAAGCCAAGACGCTTGGATTAAGCCTTACAACGAGTTCAATTTCACAGCAAAATTCGGAGGTTGATATTGGCTGGTAGTTTGACATTTGGATTTGCGGAGGATGATGTTAGTTTATGTTAGTTTCCCCTTGGTTCAACCACCCTTGGTGCGGAACCTGCTGGGGATATGTTTGATTTCTCACTGCAGCAAATGCAAGGAAAGGACGGCCCAAGAGCCTTTACAGAAACATGTGACGCTTGGATTTGCGAATTGGGCAATGCTTCTTTGTCCATTGCGATACATATGTTATGGCTAATTTGCTGTCGGGGATGGTCCTTCCGAGCTTGGGATGCACATTGGTTTGTCCAGAAATGGGTATACCCCAAAATCGCCTAAATTTAGAATTTAACATGGGAAAATAATTTTCCAAACCATGGGATGGAATGTTTTTTTTGCAGGCATACCCACGTGACCTCACTTTAGTTGCGTGCTGTTGGGCGTGGCGATTTCAATATCTATCTGTTTGTTGATTTACATGTATTGGATGATTTAAAGTAAATGTGTCCGTCAACATTTACATGCATATGGACTTGTCAACGGGGTTGCCCCCCAGATCATCCCACAATGTTATTCCTTGTCAAATTTTGAAGCAACCGTGGTTCACACAATCAACCCTGCATGTTCTAAATTGACATTTCGCCCGCTTCACCATTTATCCCACCACCGTTTTACCATATTTCACCACCATAAGGCACACCACTATCCCCTTCTGAGGAAGGCCTTAGGCGACGCGCTGCGCACCTTAGAGCAGCAGCGACCGAAGATGCCTGGGCCAGCGATCCCCACCTGCTTGGCGGAACGTAGCTATGACGCCCAGGCACAGCAGCTGGCACAGCTGCAGCAAGGCATCCAGGCAGGGGACGTTCCATCTGGCAGCCTGCCGGGCATCTTACCAGATATATATATATATATTAAATGCATATTCACATTCGATCTGTCACATCTGGAATTTTCTTGGCATTCGACTGATATGTCCGACATGTTTCCTGGCATGCCGTGTGACATTCTGGCATTCTATTTGAAACTTTATCTGACTTTTTTTCATGTATTGTTTTACATATTTAAATATATATATATATGACATGCTATCTGACATAAATCTGGCATTCCATCTGGAAATTCCATCTTGCATTTTTTTGACTTATCTGGCATTCTATTTGACCCGTTTTCTGGCATGCCGTGTGACATTCCATCTGTCAGTCTATTGGACATCTTACCTGACATATATTCTCACATTCTATCTGACACATTTTGCGGCACAACATTGTTTTTTGCATTCTACTTGACATTTATCTAGCATTCTATCTAACATATGCCAGTGTGACAGTCCATCTGGTACTTTATCGGACACATATGGCGACGTTCCACCTAGAATTTCCCCGGGAATTCTGCCTGGCATATTTCCAGCATGCTGTGTGACATTTCATTTGGAATTTCACTGGCCGCCTATCTGACGTACATTCTGGCATGCAGTGTGGCATTCCATCCGGGATTTATGTGCGTTCTTTTTTTGCGGTTTATCTGGCATGTGTCCGAGCATGCTTTGTGAGGTTCCATATGGGCATACTTTGTGAGGTTCCATCTGGCATTTTGCTTGGCACATATTCCGCCATTCTAGTTGACATATTCTGGCCTTCTATCCGACATTCGACTTGGCATTCTAGTTGACAAGTTACCTGGGATTCTATCTGGCATATATTGTGGCATGCCGTGTGACATTGCATGGCAGTTTGTCTGGCACATATGCTGCCGTTCTGCCTTTACGACTTGCCGTTCTATTTGAGTCTGCTTAGCACTCTCTTTGGCATGTGATCCGGCATTGTAACTGACACAAAGTATTTTCTGGCATCTCATGCGACAGTCGGTCTGGAATTCTATTGGGCATTCTATCTGACATTTTGTCTGACATTCTACTTGACAAAAATTTTTGGCATGCCGTGTGGCATTCAATTCCATCTAGCATTTTATCCAACATTATATATTTCTGACATATTTTCTCACATTCTACCTGGCATCCTTTTTGACGATCTACTCGGCATTGTATTTGACATGTTTGCCGGAATTCAATTTGGTATTTTTCTGGCATTCTTTTTGGCAGCCGCTTTAACATTCTATCTTGTTTTTGTCGCCTTACTTGATCTTAAATAACCAATCCCATTGGTGGATAGTTGGGGCATATGGGTCAACAAGATGGGGTGACTGTCCATGTCTTGGGGGTCGATGCTTTTGACTTCCGTTTTGGAATGAATGCTGGATCAAAATTGGAGCAAAGTATTTCAAGTCGCTTGGCTAATTTCCAGCCAATAAAAAATGTAAAGACCCGCAAGACATCAGTTTTTTGAGGCGGGGTATGCAAAGTTGGCCGTTGGTGGTGATGTCTTCCAAGAAGCCGGGCCACACGACATGCCGTCCAGCAAACTTGACAGTATACGAGATATATGTAGCGTTCCGGCTGGCAGTGTCCCCATACATATTCATTAGGAGATCAAACCCCAGTTGACCAAAACAGGAAATCAGAGCTGAGAAGCTTTGCGCAGAAAAAGTTGCTGGCATAAAGATTTGCACCGAGCAAGAGGATGAATCTTGGCAGGTGATTGGGGTGGAAGTTCAGAGTTTTCGCTTGGATGAATGTTTTTGCAATTTGTTTTCGTGGAGTTTGTACCACTAAGTTACCCCACCGGGGTTTTAGGATGAACACCCAGTCCCTGGTATCTCCCACAGTTTCAACTCACCTCCCAAGTTGCTGGACACGTCCCCAAGGTGCTGAAACGGTTGCAAAACCAGCAAGCTTTGACGCAAGCGCAAAGAAGCATTGCAGGAGAAGAAATGCAGAAGGCTTGGCTCACTGTTTTTTTTAGCGGCCTTGGGGTCGTTTTTGGGTGTGGTTCCCTTGATGGGTTTGGAGGGTTTATTGTCACAGCTGGGCCGGTATGTTGGAACTTGATGAGACGAAGTGTGCGGATGCAAATCTAAACCGCTTAGCATGTTTTTGCCATTTGGGCGCTCGAAGGCGATATGCGTTCGAAATAACGAAGATAGACGGGGCAGTTTGGGTTCAAAACTAGATATGTATATGGCATATACATATCCAGAAGTGTACCTTGCGCTATATAACTGATCAGTTTTTTTAAATAAAAATAATATATATATATATACACTTTTTCCACTTCCATTCACATGCGATCATCGTTTGGTCTTGTTTTTAACTTGTTGAATTTCCTTTCCTATGATTGGCTTCTAGTGATTCAACTTGACCAATTATACTTTTTCGGAGGAAACAGTAGCCATCATGGGTCCCAGCAATGGTGGTGAATGACCCCCGGTCCGCAAGCCCATTCTTGACTAGGGCCATTGCAGAATAGGCGGAGCCTACCGGATTAAAAATGGAAGTCTGAAGGCTAGGTTTGGAAGATTCTGGAATGTCCCCTTGCATAATCTTGCATGCTGATTTTCGGGGGGTAATGATCCTCGGCTTCAACACCCTCCCATGTTGCACCCAGCTTTGCGTTTGTATTACTTCGTTTGGCGTTCACCAATTCCGAGAATTTGATGAGCGGATTTGTTACAAGTAGTAGTGCGATGGTGCCGCGTAAATTCCCCTAAAACCAGGACTTGTGGCAATCCAACGTGTCAATGGAAAATCCCAATTTGGTTTTTTGTTTTTCCAGTAGGAATCGTAAATTTAACCGATTTAACCAGAGGGCACAGATGCTTAAATCCGTTTTTGATTGTCAGTATGGAGAATTCCCATATTGGGGTGGGATATATAGGGTCTATTGATGAATTGGTGCCCTAAAAAAAAATAATGCGACTTGAATTGACCGTATTTTGTACGATCAGAGGATGGAATTCTATCGATGCTTAGTGGGACAACCCCGTTGGATTCACATTATGGCTGCGTAACTCCATACTGAAACCAAGTTAAATTCAAATCAAGTCCCAGGCAGAAGCTGCTAGGGTTTCTGCTCAAAATGAACTCTTGCAGCGACGCTTGCGACTGGTGAATCTCAAGGTGGTGGAGCGGTGATCCCGGTGGTTCCCGCAATGGGGTTTGCACAAAAATGGGCGGGGTATCACTTCAGCAGTAGAGAAGGGGGAAGGAGAGAGAGAGAGAGTTAGAGTTAGAGATACGGTTAGGGTTAGAGTTAGAGCTAGGGCTGGAGCTAGAGCTAGAGTTAGAGTTAGGGTTAGGGTTAGGGTTAGAGTTCGAGTTAGGGTTAGGGTTAGCGTTAGGGTTAGAGTTAGAGTTAGAGTTAGAGAGATAGAGTGTTAGAGTGTGAGAGTGTGAGAGTGTGAGAGAGAGAGGGAGAGAGTTAGAAAGAGTTAGATAGAGTTAGATAGAGTTAGGTAGAGTGAGGGAGAGAGGGAGAGAGAGAGAGAGAGAGATGAGAGAGAGAGAGAGAGTGAGAGAGGTAAAGAGAGAGAGAGAGGTAAAGAGAGAGAGAGGTAAAGAGAGAGAGAGGGTGATAGAGGGCTTGGACCCTTCTCATCCGTCCCCAGGTTGAAAATTTGCATGAACCATGAATCAGTCATCCAAAACAAAACAAAGATGGGTCCCAATGCAATCACTGAGCAAGCTTAGACAGTCGCATGTGCTTTGGGCATGTTTGTTGATTCGTAAACCTTACATATCACACTAGGCTTGAAGAGTAATGTACCCATGGGGAATGAGGCATATGGTGTGAGTCACAGATATGATTTTTTGAAGCTGAAATCAACTAACCTCCCGGCCACTGGCATGGAGGCAGACATCAGTGCCCTCGAAGCCATGGTTGCACCGCAAGAAAAACAGCCCTTCGCCCAGTTGAATGGTAGTTGGCGGTTTCAGTAAGATGGGGCCCACCCTCGAACGATATGTTTTTGTGTTCTTTTTTTTCGGAAAAAGGGATCATATTTTTTTAAGCTATTGAATGTTGGGGGAGTTCTTCTCTGGCAAGCGAATATAAGGTAAGATCAAACAATGATTAGTATGGTGACATCCCAGCGGGATGAGTATGCAATACCATATGGAGCGAGTTGATACTGACACAACCATCGTCACTTTGCATGTTGACCCTTTTTTTGCTGAAACATGCAACTGTCTGTCCATGGATAGCATGTCCGATGATGTTCCGCGCTGCGATGTGATCATGCTTTGGTTGCATATTCAGGTTCGAAGCTCGAAGTGGTATTCAGGGAATGTTCCATCAGTCACATTCTGTTTTGGCATGCTTTTTTCCATGCCAGGTACCCTTTCCATCCATTAAAGCAGCTTAATGACCAAAGGCTGCGCTGCCCCAAGTTGTCCTTCCTTGTTTGGGTTAGAGCCTTTGGCTCTTGACACAGTGGTAGATCAATCATATTGGTATCACCATAGGTGGATGTGGCATGCTTTCTTCATTGGTTCTTCAAGGCAAAAAGTGCCATTGTGGGGGAAGGACTTCAAAGACTTCTTTCTAAAATTGGTTTGAGTGATTGCTTGCCTGGATATGTTTCGGCTCAAGCTTTGTATTTTGCCAAATCCAGCTCAGGTCATGGCAGTTTCACGGGATTGAAGATATAATCCAAGGTGACCAGATAAACATGTTGACACCGGCTGATGTTAGTTTACAGATGTTGTTGTTGTTTGATTTTCCCTCCCTTCCTGTACGGGCCGCGAGATGGCGCGGCTATGACCAAGCAAAAGTTGACGAAGGACGCCCTTCTGTGCTGCGCCATGGGCACAGGTCAGGACTTAAAATCTTTGCAGGCCCCAGGTGTAGGTAATTGTTTGTCTTCACCACTTATGGCATGCCCATACCCACGTGGCTTTTGTCGCTCCTCTGAATCGGCTGTTATGGCCATAAGAATTGGAGACCAGGGCTTGCCTCAGACCTTCCGCGCTGTAATTTGTGAGCATTTTGTGAGTCAATGGCGGCGAATTGCAATACTAGTTTGATACGGTGTTAAATCGATGCCCATCCATGAACAGACGCAAAGAATTACAGCACCAAGGTGTGCAAGGTCAGGTTATATTCAGTAATTTGCCAACACCAACTAAATTCCAATGTGCATCTGCAAAGTCCACACTTAATTGTCTGTAAAATCCTGAAGACGTCCCTTTTTTCAGGGTAGCATCCAAGATGATAAGGCTTTTCTATCCTTTTTGACCTCGGGGAACCTTACGCGAAACACGTCACATCACGTCACCAAGCGAAACAGAACTGTTCTTTCCCTGCGTGGCTCAAGTAGCTTTGTTTCCACTCTGTGGCCCCTCCTCTTGCTACCTCGGCATGGCTCCTTGGCTCCTGGGGGGAGGAGGACATGTTGGAGGCCACCAAAAGTAGCACGGAACCAATAAGAATAGGAGAAAGGGATTTGGAAAACGATCTTCCTAGGAGAAAGAGATACAACATGTACGTGTTTTCGTCCATTCAAACTTTCAGGGGCGCCCAAGACAAGGAAATAACAATACTTCAAGAGGTATCCTCCCGTAAAATCCACCCAGCTGCAAGGCAAACCTGGAACTTAAACAAGGTACGAAAAGTATCACCTTGCAAATCCAATGTGGTAGCCTGGTACCTCCACGCAATGTTTTTTGTTCCCCACATCACTGTGTGGGGTTCTTGTTTTTCCCTTGGCACCCGCCGCGCCGCTTCTGCGTCCGCCCGCCGCCGTGTCCCTCACTCACCTCACTCATCACACCTCACTCATCACAGCACTACTCATCACACCTCACTCATCACACCACTTGTCAATCACACCACGCTGTCACATCACAGTACTACTCATCACATCACACCTCACTCATCACAGCACTACTCATCACACCACTTGTCAATCACACCACGCTGTCGTGTAGCAGGCGCAGTACACAGATTGTGGCAGGCGAAGTACACAGGGCCTTCTGGAGGAGCCAGGAGCTGCTGCGCGCGTGGTCGCCGGCTGGCCCGCAGCTGGCGTTCGTGTGGCAGGCGCAGGAGCTGCTGGAGGAGCTGCTGCGCGCGTGGTCCCGCCTGGCCCGCGGCTGGCTTTCGTGTGGCAGGTGCATTACACAGAGCCTTCTGGAGGAGCTGCTGCACGCGTGGTCGCCGGCTGGCCCGCGGCTGGCTTTCGTGTGGCAGGCGCAGTACACAGGGCTTCTTGTTCCCCACATCACTGTGTGGGGTTCTTGTTTTTCGCTTGGCACCCGCCGCGCCGCTTCCGCTTCCGCGTCCGCCCGCCGCCGTGTCCCTCTCTCATCACACATCACTCATCACAGCACTACTCATCAGACATCACTCATCACAGCACTACTCATCACACCTCACTCATCACAGCACTACTCATCACACCTCACTCATCACAGCACTACTCATCACACCTCACTCATCGCAGCACTACTCGTCACACCGCACTCATCACAGCACTACTCATCACACCTCACTCATCACAGCACCCCTTCTCACACCTCATTCATCACAGCACTACTTATCACACCACTTGTCACAGCCACCTCATCGTGGCTGGCTTTCTGGGGGCGCTGCTGCGTGTTTCGTGTGGCACGCGCAGTACACAGAGCCTTCCGGAGGAGCTGCTGCGCGCGTGGTCGCCGGCTGGCCCGCGGCTTTCGTGTGGCAGGCGCAGTACACACAGGGCCTGCTGGAGGAGCTGCTGGGCGCGTGGCCGCGGCTGGCTTGCGCAGTACACAGAGCCTCCTGAAGGAGCTGGTGCTATCGTGTGGCAGGCGCAGTACACAGAGCCTCCTGGAGGAGCTGCTGTCACACCACTTTGTCACACACACCATCTTTCACACATCATCTTTCACACCACTTTGTCACACACCATCTTTCACACACCGTCACAGACCATCTTTCACACACCACTTTGTCACACACTATCTTTGACACACCATCTTTCACACAACTTTGTCACACACCATCTTTCACCACACCATCTTTGTCACACACCATCTTTCACCACACCATCTTTCACACACACAACTTTGTCACACACCATCTTTCCTCCACCTCCTCCTTTGTCTTTCCTTCCTTCCCCGTCCCCGCTACAACATTTCTTGCTCATTATTGGAAGAAGTTGACTTGTGGGGTTATCCAGTCCTTTTATTTCTTTTTTATATGATTGGCCCGGGGATTGCAACAACGTATAGCACCCAGAGTAGCTAAGATGATCTGCGCGCAGATTGATGCGAAATATGGTGCTTGTTATTCTCTGACCTTTTTAGTCCCTGAGCAAACCAACGTTGGGGTTCAAAAGTTGGTGTGCGGTTTTTATTTGCCATCCTTTCCTAAATATAAGATATGTCTGACTTTCCGATACCCTAGGTCGGTAAGTAACCATGGGTTGGACCCATTCCTTGGATTGATGATTACAAAGTCAACAAAATAGTACCGTGGTCTGAGTACTACTTGAATCCCTTTCTGGACAAATATCTCACACAAGCGTCATTCAATTTCTTTTGCGCATGGCTGACACGGGCCAGGGGCAAGTTTCTGGATATCCCGGGAATTCCCCCAACCACACAGCCAACCCATCAATCATCATCGGTTATCTGCCACCATCATCATCACCACCATCAACAACAGCAAACATCCATCCACATCAACATCATCCCCAATCCCTAATCACCGGTCACCAGTCACAATAATCATCACCTGCTCCGAGGCGGCCAGACTGCTGCGCAGCCTGGCGTTGCTGCTGCTGGGCTGCGGCACCTGGACCTTCCTTGCCCCGGTCGCAGCGCCCATAGACATCCCGCCAGCGCAGTGGAACGCAGTGGATGCACACCTGCTGTTAGCGGAGATTGACATGGAAAACCCCACCAGGCAAGGATTATGAAGTTAGTATAGCTAATGTTGGCTGCTATGTTTTATATTTCTTCGACTATGTTCCAAGGATGTGGACTTTTTATTTTCATCTGTAGCTGAATCATGCGTGGTGGGGCCTGGCAAAGATGTTTTACGCGATCTTTTAGCACCCTGTCAAATGGCCTTGGTTAAGTACATCCTCACCTCGCGCGCGTTCGCACAAGTGTTTCTCACATATTCCACTACTTTGCTGACTTTACAAGAATACGCGTCACTTCTCCGTGTTTGTCTGTGGTTTCCACCCGTACATTTTATTCAAAAAATACCGCCGAATTTGCCGATGGCTGGAACATATTAGAACCCAGCTCCCCATGGCCATTCGCAGCCAATTTTTCAGGCCAGAGGATGATGAACCCACGAGTCCTGCCAATGCCCTGGTCCTGTTGACTTTGGGTTTCGTCTTCGCCGTCTTCATTTTACCGCTGCTCTTCGCAGGTGTCCAATCCAAAAATCAAGACATCGCCGGTGCCGATGATGCTGGGCTTGGTGAGGGGGAAATTGGACATGGTAAAAATCAAAGGCGACTGGCTGATGTCAAATGCATGTGTTTTCATCCGTTTTCTATTTAACACATATGTACGGCGTGAAGTTCTTTAACGCATGGATACTGGTTGTACAAAAATGTAAAAAAGATATGTACAGACTGTATATATACTTCTTGCTTTGTGTATGCATGCCTGTGTATGCATGTATTTTAGGCATACGGATAGATAGCTAGATAGACGGATCGATAGATCGATCGATCGATAGATAGATAGATAGATAGGTAAATAGATTCTGATACTTCGAGATGTTGAGAGGTATTTAGGATGGTTACACGGGCCTAAAGATTTTGAAAGGCTTAAAGAGATTCAAATAGATTTAGAGAGGTTTAGTCAGGTTGAAAGATTGATAGACTGGCAGAGTGAGTAAGATAAAGGCCCATAGATTTAGACAGTTTGTTGAGTGATTGATATATTGGTAGGTGGTTGCATTGATTGTAAGACAAAGCTAGTTAGAGTTCGATAGATGAACAGAGAGTCAGGTTGATAGATTGAGGTAGAGAAAGATAGAGTTACAGTAATTGATTTTTTAAGGATAAGATATAGTGAGAAAGAGCCAAACAGATGATTGATAGAACAAGATATGGCTAGATAGAGCTAGGTAGAGCCAAATAGATTTTGATATAGCATGCATGTTTGGCTCATGAAATTGGATGTTGGTCGACAGCCTTGCTTCATGGTTCATGGGCAATCTTTTCCAGTGTTTAACCGATTGACCTCAGTCTTAACACCTCCCAACAGCGTGAGCCCAGGAACGTGGAAAAGCAGTCAAGAAATAGACAATGAGGAAGGCGTTCCTGAGACGTTTCCACTAATCCAGAATGAATTTAGCTGCATTTAGACAGCAGAAAAACATCAAAAATGTTTACAAAGTATGTCCAACAGGGTGTGAGCCTCTATGACATGATGGCGTGAGGGGAAAACAGATGTGCAGAAGGGATGGGGGGTAGAAACGCGGTGAACTCAGGCCGACACCCAACAGCATACCAGAAGACCATCTCAAACATCAATTGCGCATTGAAGTTGGAAGATATACATGACGTTTTGAAACGGGTGAACAACCAGTATTTTTATCTAGCTTTACGTTTTGTGAAAAGATTACGGGGAGGGATTGTATGGATATGTCAGCAAGGGATGTTTTTGGGTGCAACCAAAAAGACAGAAAAAAATCATGGTGTTGTTTCTGCCGACTTTGTTCAATGACGTGTTGTGGCTGGAGTCATGGTTAAATTGCCAGACTGCTCTGCCACCAATGGGCCACCAAAGGTGCACCGAAAAGCTTTCAACATCCGGAAAGATAAGCGATTCTTACCCCAAGGTTTCCATCGTCCAGCGCTTCAGATGTTTTTCACATAATCCCCATCTGCGTGCCTTGTGCTCCAACCAGGACCTTCTGAAGAACTTGTGTTCCGAGCTGCAGTGTCTTGGCTTTAGCACTTGGATATGCTCATGTTCTGGGGTGGTTTGGATCTGGAACCATGTTTTTTTCATGGGTATACCATACCGCTGAATACCTCTGAGTTTGGAGGAGGTAGCCTCCTCAACTTCCGGACTTCGTAGCAGCTCCTCTGACTTTAGACTTGGTAGCCCGATTTGGCATGGGCCACAATTCCAATAATGTCCCTTGTCAACCTATGGCGGGACATCCAAGTCTGTGATAGTAATCCCCCTTATTTCTCCAACGCGGCGCAAGGAAAGATGCTTTTGCGCCTTGACAGCAATGCGCGCTGCACGCCCCAACAGATGTTTGGAGTCAAATGGAGTTGACTGATTTGGGGCACCAGTCAGCAAACATGGCCGGCCGGGGATTTCTCTATAAATGTGTGGTCTTCATGGGCAAATCATCTATACATATTTTTCTCGTCAGACCTGTCGTAGAAGTCGGGGGTTATGCTCACCTATGTGGCAAAGTAAAAGCCATCAACCAGCACCAATTTTGCTAGAAACGGTTTGGATTCCAAGATGTTGGCTCACTTTATACCTTCATCCAGCGGTGAACGGAGAGAGCAGTTCCGAGCTGTGGCTGTCCATATTCCCCTTGAGATATCGGGAGCCACTTGGAGCTAGGAATTGGGTTTCCCAACCACAGGAGAATCATGTTCCCGAGTTTTTGATTTCCAAGCATCTTAAATGTAGGCATCCCCCCCATTACCCTTGACAATGTTGTTTGACTTCCCCTATCTTCCCCCTTTCCCGTGACAGCTCACAGGCGGGCACCCTGATCAAGAAGTTAGTTGGGGAACATTGGCTCGAAAAGGCCAGGGCGGGGACTTGGGACAACTTGGGAACTTTGTCAACGATACCTAGGTTAGTGCTAAAATCCAGATTGACGCGACAATTGATGACAATGTGAGATTGACATGATGATGTTACTGGGGAAAATGATGATTTGAACTAGGATTTCTCCCCAACTAGTGGCTGCTTCAAAGGGAAAAATCATGATCAACCTCTGGGTTTTGGGATACCTGTGTTTTTTGACAAACCCACCTGTACGAGAGCATCCCGGCAACGAAAGCGACCAATGAAGTTTGAGGTCGCCTTTAAGAAAATAGGTACACGCGGGCATCGTGCCTTCATGTTTCCAATTCCCTTCATCTTTCATGACTGGGCTGGGACGGGGCTTCAGACAGCCATGAGAGGTACAGTAGGTTTTGGACAAGACATGTAAGAAGGGGATACAAACCTATAAACCAATGTCATGGAACACACAATGTATAGCAAAGCTCACACTGTCATTTTGGAAACCCCTAACTGAAGTCTTGAAGACTGACCTTTTCAACAGATAATCCCTGGCTGCCACGTCCACATCCTGTAAAGGTGGAGGATCTTCGCTATGTGCCCCAGCATCGCTTGGAAAGCTGGGGCGTCCCCCTGAAGCTGTGGGACTCCAAGCCAGGCCATATGTTCCAAAGTTGGATGAAAGTTGGCATTTCAAAAGAGGAGCAGAGCGATTTCCTCAGATTTTGGCCAGAGAAGTTCTAAGGATTGATGAAATCTATGATTTTTTGGCAGAGAATGCCGCTTGGATCGCGTTGGATGTAGCAGTTGCTATCTCAAATTCATGTTATTCAATTTTTGTGCAAATGTGATATCTTGTCATTATCTGGTGCTGTTACATTTCTTTTTCCAATAAGGGGATGCTGACACCCCCGGCTGGCCGATGTTTGGATCAGTTGCTCAGGAAGCAGATGAGGGCGCTCATAGCACCTGGGCCTAAGAGTGGCTACAGCTGCAAACTTGGCGACTTTACACAACATTTGGTAACTACCAGTAGTACCGCACAAAGCGATGGCGGAAGTTTCAATAATAGGAAACCTATAGGAGAGGTTGGTTGTTGTGAATCACGGATGGCAGAGCGAACCCACTGATGGACCGAAAGGTGGTTGAGGTCTCCTCTCTTTCTCTCTCTTTCTCTGGCTATCTACCTACCTACCTATCTATCTATCGATGTATATCTCTCTCTCTCTTTCATCTAATTACCTATCTATCCATCTATCTATCTCTCTCTCTCTCTGTCTATCTACCTCTTTGTCTATGTATCTATCTACCTATCTACCTACCTATCTATCTACCTATCTATCTATCTACCTATCTATCTATCTATCTATCTAGTTATCTATCTATCTCTCTCTCTATCTATCTATCTTTCTATCTCTTTATCTATCTATCTATCTATCTATCTATCTACCTATCTACCTACCTATCTATCTATCTTTCTTTATTTATTTCTTTCTATCTATCTAGCTGTCTATCTATCCCTCCATCCATCTATCTATCTGTCTTTGTATTCATTTATCGATCTGTCTGTCTATCTACCTACCTATCTATCTATCTATCTATCTGTCTGTCTGTCTGTCTATATCTCTATCTGTCTATCTATCTATCTATCTATCTATCCACCCATCTATCTATTTATCTATCTATCCATCTATCTGTCTATCTATCTACGTAATCTATCTATTTGTCTGTCTGTCTGTCTGTCTGGAAGTTTCCTGAAATAGGGGTACCTCCAAATCATCAATTTTTATTGTATTTTCCATTTATAAACCATCCGTTTGGGGATACCCCCATATATGGAACCCCCCATATATATATAAATAAATATGTGTGTGTGGGTGTGTGTGCGACTGGATCAAAAAAATAGGAAATTCAGATTTGGAATTGCCAACAGGGACTTGGATGAACATATTCTTTATGTGTGGATATGCCTACATTTGGGGTTTCACATCTTCCATGTTCAGTTTGAGAGTCGTCTTTGGGAGCTGCTGCATACCACAGTTTTAGGCTGATAAAGTGATCTGATATTGCTTTGAAACCGGTTTGGGGGCAATTTCCTTACCTGCGGGTAATCAAAGGTGGCAATGGAAAAATCCCTCATGGCTTGTCACTTTAAACTTCCATTTAGCGACGATTTTCCATTGCCACATTTGGTGACCATAGAGTATTTTTTTACGCAAATTCAAAGTATGTTCCCTTTCGGCCATGTGGCCACCCGGCCTTCCCAACACCCAACCGCTTTGCCATGCAAAATTGCTGCTACCAAGACGTGAACGCCTACATGAACTATACCCTGCGACCCGCAATGCAGAGTTACTTGACACCATCCATCACGTGGCTTGGCTGAGTAGAATCCATGGATTTATGTGGTTGAATGGAAGTTTGAAGCAAAAAGGTGAATAGAATTGGCATCAAACTGGGATGTCTAACCAATTAAATATAATTGTTGGGCTTAGTACCTGAAAATGGTGGTTTAACCCTCAATTCACGGTCATGTTCATGGGTAATATGATGCTTGACCATAGGATTTGGGGGCGCGCCATTTTCAAAACCCGTGGGTTGGCAGGTGCTGTTTCACCAGCAGGTGATGGTCGGGGATACTGATGCCCATACTAATGTCCATCACAAGTATCGGCAGGTGGGCCCATTACGAAGTTTGCCTAGGCCCTATCAGCTTGTGCTGGTCGTATCATGATGCACTGCTGTTCACCATGTTGTCTACCACTTGGGACATCTGAGACCATATGTTTCAATTTAAGGTTGCTCAGTTGTTTTTTTGGACTTGCACGGATCTGCAGTCACATAATTTTATATGATGTTCAAATAACCTGTCATGAGATTACATGCACGCATACACACATACATACATACATACATATATATATACATGTGTATTTATACATTTTTTAGATTTGTATACGTGTGTTATATATATATATATATATATCTGTGTGTGTGTGTAAATATATATGTATATATTTATTTATTTATTTACATACGTATTGATTTATATATATTTATATATGTATATATATATATATACATTGATCTGTTGATATACATCTTTTGATCTGCGCATATTTTTACATACATACAGATTGATAATTTTTATTTCTTTAGATATGCACCCCACATTTTGTGTTTTTTACATACATACATACATACATTAGATTTGTATACGTGTGTATTTTTTATATGTGTGTGTAAATATTTATATATATATATATATTTACATACGTATTTGTTATATATTTATATATGTACATATATACATTTATCTGTTGGTATACATATTTTGATCTGCACATATTTATTTATACACACAGATTGATAATTTTTATTTCTTTAGATATGCATTACATATTTTGTGTTTTTTACAATTAAATACTTTTATGTATATTGTTATAATTACCCTTCGGTATTTTAGCTTGGCAACCAAAACCACTTCCTTCCTTAGGGGGAGACCCAATCTTGAGCCGGGCCAGGTTCAGCAAGCTCCGTGATGATGCAGAGAAGTGGGGCGGCCCAGGGTCCAGAAAAGATCAAGGTATTCCAACAAGCCTGGTCTGATCCATTGAATCCATACATGCATAGAAAAATGGAAACATGGATGCATACATGCATGCATACGTACTTACATACATCACGTACATGACATACATGACATGCATACATGACATAGATGCATGATATGCATGCATGACAGACATGCATGACATAAATGGAGGACATACATGAATGACATGCATGCATGACATACATTACATACATTACATACACTACATACATTACATACATTACATACAGTACATACACCAAATTGTATTACATATAAATTACGTTGACATTACAGTACATTAGATTACACATAGATACTCACACACATACATGCTAACATGCACGCATGCATACATGTGTACATGCATTCACACATACACGCATACATGGCATACATGCATACATGACATACATGACATACATGACTTACATGGCATACACACATACATACATACATACATAAAAACATACATACATGGCATGCATTGCATGCATTGCATACATGGCATACATGGCCTACATGACATACATGACACTCATGACATTACATGCATGCATGCATACATGCATACATGCATACATGCATACGCACATACATACAAGGCATACATACATACATACGTACATAAATAAATGCATACGTGCATACATACATGACATACATGACATACAAGACATACACGACATACATGACATACATGACATACATACATACATACCTACCTACCTACATACCTACCTACCTACCTACCTACTTACCTACCTACCTGCATACCTACATACCTACATACCTACACACCTACATACCTACATACGTACATACGTACATATGTACATACGTACACTCATACAAACATGCATACATACATGACATGACATACATACATACATACATACATGACATACATGACATACATACATGACATGACATGACATGACATGACATGACATGACATGACATATAGACATATAGACATACAGGCTTACAGTCATACAGACATACGGACATACATGACATACATGACATACATGACATACATGACATACATGACATACATGACATACATGACATACATGACATACATGACATACATGACATTGATGTAAATCATGACAGACATGACATACATGACATACACGGCATACATGGCATTCATGGCATACATGACACTCATGACATTACATGCATGCATGCATGCATACATACGCACATACATACAAGGCATGTATGGCATACATGCCATACATGCATACATACATGCATACATACATTCATACATACATACATGCATACATGCGTACATACATAAATACATACATACATTCATACATACATACATACACATACATGCGTACAGACATAAATACATGCATACATACATTTATAGATACATAGTTGCATAGATACATAGATGTATGGTTTTATTTTCATTTCTTTATATATATGTGCGTTTGTTTCCATATTTGATGGGGCTTTCAAATGGCTAACCATATTCCAACCATAACTTGTCCATGTTTAACCCGTATTTTGACCATATGTCGTTTTGCCAGGTTTGACCTTCGTACCATACTTCAACCATTGAAATATCCCAATAGATGGGATAGATATGATCATCTAATCTTTTGAGATACAGAAAAGGATGGTGGTATCCCTATCTTTCGTATCCATGTCCTATCAAGATTAGCGGAGATATTACCATCTATAGTGATCTCCTTAGATATATCTGTAGGACATGGTAATTATCACATATTACTCTAGATAGTGTGGAAATATTTGTTCTCCAAACGTATATCACTATCTATAGCATATCATCATCTATAGTAATCTACAGTAATTTCCATACTTTTGAGTTTTTAGTATAACGCAGCGCACCGCATTTTCCCATATGATGGCCATATCCCGTCATGAGATTTTCTAATTATTATCATATTTTCTCTATAGAAATCTATTAATGGGATTTTCTCATATATCACCATCCAATTTCCCATTACCATTTTCATATATATATATGTGGTATTGTTTCTTGATAAATGTATTTTTCTAGATACATCACCATCTATAGTATATCACCATCTTTTGTGATCTACCGTACTTTCCATACTTTTCTATACTAATGGCCATGGCGGCCGCAGGCGTCGCCAGCCCCAAACCTGGGCCGCCAAGCGGCTACAAAGGTGGTTTCGACACAGGTCCTGGGTTCAACGGCCACGGGGTTTGCAGCCGTTTTTTTCCACAAAATAAAGGGAGTTTAAGGGGATTTGTAGGGGGTTTTTAATGGTGTTTCAATGCGACTTATAGAGATATAATGGGATCATCGACGGAGGTTTACAAGGCAAACTTCCGACAATATGGAGAGATGAAAAGCAGAGATGGGAAGAGTC